TCCTGCAGACCTGTGGAAGTCTGCTGATCTGAACGATAGCGAAGTGCTGCTTGTGAACGAACGTTGCTGTTTGTGGCTGTGGGAGTCAAACCAAGCTGAAGTATGAGTGGAAGGACCCTTGAATGCAAACGGAGGGTTTTCTTTATAGATGACTGGAATCAAGAGATGGTTGAACATGATACATGTATATTAGCTTGCAGTGTCACTTTGGTCGCTGTTGAGCCAAAGATGACTTCATTTTTTTCAAAGGTTAAAGCACAGATGTTAATCGAATCTCACTTTTAAGTTTTTATACAAATTGTTGGGGATCAACAGGAAGGTTTTTTTGGTCTTTCTGTCTCTCCTGTCGAGGTCTTATCATTGAAAACTCTGGAAAGGTTCTCCATTGTGCCACGTTTTCTCCATCAGTGGATAATGTATCTCACTGTGGTTCTCTTTACTCCTAAAACCTTAAAGTATGACATGTTACCTTTTGAGATCTATTAGTCGACATTATGTTATCTGTCGTGTTGAAGTGATTTATTGAGTCTATATATAGCAGAAAATCAGGCAAAAGGCTTTTATGCTGTTTGTTATGCAACCTAACAGGGCATGTAAATAAGCATAAAATGTGTTATTGCAATATGATTCCTGCTTTTTATTTTGTTTGTTTTATCAGACTATTTTTAATAAAACTGTTCAAAGTTTGAAGCTAAATGTGAAGGTACTGTCTCAGTAGAGAGAGTAAGAGTGTTTTTGTTGCACCACCACTCCATCTTGGAGAGAGTGCAGAACAACCTGGAGAAAATGGCTCTGAGAACGGCTCCCTTTCCCACACCACCTGAACTCATTTCTGTTGTCTTTACTGTTGCAGATATCATCATGTGATTTTTGGGCCAGGCATCTCAGTCTTAGGAGGCATTGTTAAGAGTTTACAACATGGCGTATTTGTGATCTCACTCTCCGAAGGAAGGAAATGGAGACGCTGTTGTCTTTGTATCGACCTCCAGCCCGTGTAAGCAAACATTGGGAGGGCAGTGGTTTTCCATGGCTCTCAAGCATTCATGCTGACTTCGAACAAAGGCTGGTGTTATTCACATTGAAAGAAATATGGAAGGGGCATTTACATGACTTCTTGAGAAAGCCAAATTAAGAATATTATTTGTACTTGAGTCACAAAATCACAATATTTCCGTTTTTTTTTTTTTGGAAAGTGCTTAATGCAGCATTATTAAAGGATTTATTCTCATTCTAGCAGCCTCTGAAATTACCCGTTGAATTGCGTTTGTATGCTGCACATTCCTGTGTGCTTTGTGTTTGTTTAAGCAATTAGGAACCAGACCAGAATTTTCCTGACGCCCCCAGAAATACTCTGCATGGCCATAAAACAGTCACACACACTGTTTCATTGGACTGCTTTGATCACAGCCGGCATTCACTGTGCCTTTGTTTCAATAAGCTTCTGTAACGTCGCCAGATTTATTTCCATCCAGTGTGGCATTCATTTTTCACCAAGTCCTTTCGTTGATGATGGGAGAGTCTGAGCAGTTTCCAAAACTTCTAGGTGGCGTTCGGGTCCGGACCTGGTGATCGATCCATGAGTGTCCTGATATAAAAAAATAAAGAGAATAAAAATGGAGCGAAGGACATTAATTTTGTCCAATCAGGTGCGGTTATTGAGAACCACCTATGATGACATGCTCATCCAATCTGACCTTCCATCCCTCCATTGTCCGATGTTTATTAAGGATTTTCTTATGGCTACACAACTGATCCATCCCAATCCCTCGACTTCCCTTCGACATAATGTGAAAATACTCTTACTTTCACTATTAAGTATAGCTCTGAGTTCTACTGTTGTTTTTCTTCAGTTTTATTCTACCAAATGTTTCAGTGATCGTCAATCATGAATATTCAAGACATTTTCCGACTACATTTCCTCTGTAAAGACGCTGGATCAACTCTTTCCTTCCAGTTTCTAAATTATGCATCGAACAATCCCAACTTTAGTCATTTCTCCTTAGAGGTAGACACATCCTCCATTATTGCAGGATGTGTGTTTCAGCATGGTCATTTAAGATATTAGAAGTTGCTCAATGCCTCAGTTGAGCAACTGAGGTGAAATGTCTTGTTGCCAGGTGAAACATAAGAACCCTGCAATAATTAGACAAAAGGAAACTCACACCTATTTGCTTATTTGTTAAAACTAAGTGGCGACTTTAAAAAAAGACAAACTGTGTTTAAAACAACTGTTCTTGTTCAATTTTGATTTGAATTATTTGAATTTGCAGCCTTTATTTTTGTCCATTTGCACATCAAGTCGACTTGTCAGGTTGGCACTTAAAGAGAAATCCCCACAAGTGGCTGGAAACAGAAATGTCTTGCTTTCAAGGACAAAACCTTGTTGCCGAACTACGACACACCTACAAAAAAGTTCCAGGTACAGAAGTTACTGAAATACAGTAGTTTAATAATTCATGTTTCCATGACGAAGTTCAAGAAGTGTGAAACAGGATTGGATTTTTTTTTTTTTTTTTTGTGCTTACATAACATTTTTTTCAAGGAGCCTGTCAAAAAGAAAGAGAAGCAATGTTTGCCTTTTCATGTGAACATCTTCAGCGACTAAATAAACTGTATCGACTTCCTCAATTAGCAGCATGTCTTCTTACCATAAAGCAATAATATAACGCATGGAGACGTCATATGCTAAATCCTACACACTGCTCCTTATTCAGGCATTCTGGCTGAAACTAGACTTCCCACAACGATCTTCAAATCAGGCATTAGGAGGAGAAGAAGAGCAACAGAGGCCCACCGCTGCGGCCTCCTCCTCTCCGTCCCAGATGTTTGTTCTAAAGCCGAGTGGCTGTCGCTTCCGGGAAACGTCAATGGCGTCCCGTGCCGGGATGAGAGCTGCCTACCTGTGTGTGAGTGGCGAGACCCCGCCAGCCATCCCCGCGAAGCTCCCGGCGAGAATCAAGCTGCGACTGACGTTCCTCATTTGTGTGAAGCGGCGACGTGCTGGAGGCTCAGCGGGATCTCTCTGTCAGCGCTGGATCACGATTCGCTGGCATTTTGCAGCCCGCTCTTTCACTGCTATGCTAACAGCGCTCAGGATAAAAGTCTTACAGTAAACCCTGTTGCAGTCAAAAGTGATTAAATTTGCACAAACGATGAGGAACAAGCAGAAGTAATTTGCCTTTTCAATATTTAAAATAAAGAAAAATACGGTTTGCTTATTATTTTTTGCTTCTGATTTGGCGGAACGCAGGCAGGAACAAACAGCAGGTGCTGCTTCCCGGTGTCACCGCTCGGGTGGTACTGAAGAGCACATTCGTCTCAGGGAAAAAGGATATTCCTGGATTAAAGAGATTATGCCTTTCCTCTCACCTGGCAGCAGAAGCAGGATGAGGAAGACAAGTAGAGTTTTTTTGGGGGAAAAAAACATCCTTTTTTAAAGATTAAGCAAATAAATTAACGCTTATTTTGTATAGCTGAATGTGTTTGCGGCTGCTTCTGAGTCCCGGAGATTAAACCGTGCATCAAACCAACAGGTGCCTCGCAATTATAAAATATTATTTATTTGAATTAAATTCAGAAAGTAAAACTCAGAGATTATAAGCTTTAGTCCACACAAAGTGTTTAATTTCAAGTGCTTTCTTTGGTAAATTTTTATTATTCAGGTTGAATGAAAACTAAAAGTTCAGTTTCTCATGAAAAAAAACAAACAGATTTTTGGATGAGTTATTGCATCAATGTGGCATGGAGGAGACCAGCCTCCGGTTTTGCTGAGGTTTTCATGAAGTCCAGGTTACTTTGGGTCATCTGCATGGTTGGTTCTGGTGCGTCTCATCTTCCTCTTCACAATAACCAGCAGATTTTCTGCAGGCCTCAGGTCAGGCTTGTTTACTGGTGTTACCATGGGGATTGGACTGGTACTTTTGGCAGTGTAGGATGGTGCCGAGTCCTTGTGGAAGATAAAATCAGCATCTCCGTGAGGAGCTCTGAAGCCTCCTGCTAGCTGGAGGACCCCAGATCATCACCGAGTGTGGAACCATCACACTGGACCCCAAACGAAGCGGGTTCTGTGTCCCTCAGTTCTTCCTCCAATCTCTGTTCTTAATTTCCATATAAAAAGCAAAATTTTATTTCCATCTGAAAAGTGGACTTTGCAGTAAACAGTGCTGTCCCTTATCTCTTTAACTCAGGCGAAACAATTCTGGTTCAGGTCCAGAAGTACTTCAACAGAAGAACTGTGAGAGTTGTGCTCCTTTTCCATCCAACTTTTTCTTCTTCCACTCAACTTTCCATTGCTATGGCTGGTCACAGCCCTCTAGAATAAGTAGATGTTTGAATTATATCACTATGTGTAATTAATTTATTAAACATATGAGTTTCAACTATTGGCTTTATTGAAAGACTTTAACCTCTTGACATTAACTTATTGAGCTACAGCTGTTCCATATTTACCTGTATCACCTGTAATGGATTCCTGTTTTTCTGATGCAAAGCAAGTTGAAGTTTGTCTACATCGTCGGATATGTTGTTGCTACAGGTCAAAGGCACATATTGAATGATTTCTCAATAAAAGAGAAAAGCTCCGAGGAGAGAATCACAAGGACTCCAACAAATAGAAAGAAATCTAAAGCTTTAGGGATGTGTGTTAAACCTTCAGCAGGACCTTGAGCAGGAAGAAAGTCTTCAGCCCAGAGCAAGAGCAAACAGGAGAGGCCTACAGCAAATGTTAAATAAAAGTATTACAGCCTTGTGATAAGTATCTCAGCTTTGAGTCAGAATCAGAAGCATTGTGCATGCTGTGATGTTGCACTCCAGTGAGCATAGAAATTTCATCCCAGCGTTTCATTCACAGATGGGATTTGGACTGAACATTGTGTGCTCCAGGAACTCTGAGCGTTGCCTCATTGTGCTGTGGCCTAGTGTCACCACTTCTCCTGATGAAAGCAAACCCCCAAAAAACCCCATTAATGCATATTTTTCTGTGTCTTCTTTTCTCCACTCAGCTGCTATTCAGGTGCAAATCACTCCAGCACAAGGGGAAATCAGCGTCGGAGAGTCCAAATTTTTCCTCTGCGAAGGTAAGAGAACACGCCTCATTTAGCTCAGCAAGATGCAAATTTCAACTCATCCAGAAAATTCTGCGAGTAGCATGTGAGGGCATTTAATAAAAGTAGAAAATTTAGAAAAAAAAAAAAAAAGAGGGTCAATGAAGGACACAGTACAGTCAGGTAAAGAGTAGGGAACAGTGTAAACCAAAATCAGGTCACAAATTGATAAGAAGTGTCAATGAAGTTGGTTTAATCTCTACAACACACCCAACAGAGCTCAGATATGAAATGGCAAAAAGGGATTGAATCAGAGATCACAGATTGACACCATTTGCAAAATCATACAAAGCAAATCTTTATATACTGAAAAAAAAGGATTAAAGTCCAACTTTATATTAGTCACAAATAATCAAATCAAGTTTATCCAAGTTAATTTATTACATTTATTTAATTTCTAAGATAAATAAAGTTTGATCAAGTTCATTCAGTTACTTATAACCAATACTACAATTCTTTTTAAAGCTGGAGCTGCATTTTTTTCTGCAGTGTCCCAGGTCTCTCCTCATCCTGTGGGTCAGTCAGCTTGAGCTGGTCCACGACGTTCCTTCTCCGCTTTAGATGTCCCAAGTCACTATGGGATAGATTTCAGACGGTTTTTAACTTCCACAGTTGAAACGATGCCAAGTCATTCAGAACGTGTTCCACTTTCAGCCCGAGATCTGCATCTCGTCCCATGTCATCACATTATGTGTGCATTAATATGCCAAATGACATTAATATGTCAACTGTTTTTGTATTTGTGTGAAAAGCTTACAAAAGCAGAGCAAATGGTAAATACTTGAAGAAAAATGCAGCTTGGGAAGCTGAAGTTTCTCTGCGCTGCTTGATATGCTGCTGACTGGCCAGTCCAGGATCAGCATTCATTTTCCTTGGCTTTGATTGGCTGTGCCCTTAGGCGTGAGGTTTTGGACGACTGTAGCTTCTGCAGTGGCGCTAAGATGGTTTCCACTCTCGTTATTAATGTATTTTAAGGTATTTTTGCTGTTTGAATGATTACAGTAGGCATTTGTAAGTGGTTTTTGAGGGCATCTCAAGAATTCGAGCATTTCGTCTATTCACAAACCCACCAACAGCACTGGACTGCTGCATGGAGGAGGACTGCGTCTGCATTGGAGCTCTGTTCAAATGTATCCCTAATGTTCTACAAATTGGCAAATAGCAGGTTGACATTTCTTTCCTGTTCAAATTTGCCAATGAACAGTTGCTAATCATTGACAATTTCTTTTATTGTTACCACGGCAACCAATAGTCACCAAAATTAAAATGACCAACACCTAATAATACAGGGCCAACTCTGTGCAGTAAATGATCCCCTGACCCGTAAAGCTACAGGCACAGTTGTTAGCCTGCAGGAACAAGATGCCTGTTTTTCTGCATTCTCCCCAAGCGAGTGGGTGATCTCTCTGGGTACTCTGAAAAAATGTGATTAATCTGACTTCAATTTACCCTTAGGAGAAAGTTTGCGTGCACATGGTATCAGCTGTTGTAGACAATAAAAGGATGCATTCAAGATTCTGCTGTCTTGATTATGATATGATCGCATCAGCTCTCGAAGATACACATTATTTTATCCAGATCTCATAACTTTAAGCTATTGTAGATCATCAGGGTCTCAAACAAGCACCTGGATTTAATATTGAAATCAGAAAATGTAATTTACGATTGGATGGCAAAATATGTAAAAAAATAAATACAAAAAAAATAAAATCTCAGCTTCATGGGACACACTATGATTTACCTGCTACATGACAAAAATTTACTATAACAAATAAAGTTATAGAAGCAAAGTTTTTGCGGACGCTTTAAACTATAATGTCTTTTATGCTCTGTGAAGATAAATGGCTTCAGTTTGACTTTGAATTGCTCCGTGTTAAACAATAAGCCCTCCTTAGAGCTCTGTGTTCTTTATGAGAAGACAACATTACCAGTTTGTGTTCTGCTTCATAAAAAATGAACGAACAGAGAAGAAAACTTGTTAGATATTTTCCCCTGTCAGTAAAAGATGCCTTCTCGTCAATAGATACAAATAATTTATACCGCTCCTTTTTATCCTACTAGCCATATTTTTCAGATTTCAGAAAGAAATGTTTTTCTATTTTATTTTTAAAGAGGTATTTAGAGAAATAAATTAGGTCTATTTCATTTCCCATTTTTGCTTTTTGTCTTGTGGGTTTTATTGATCACTTTCTCACGTGACACTCCGGCAGCATCAACAAAATCCCATCTTATCCCACATCCTTGGTGATTTACATCAGAATAAAACTTTATTGATCTACCATGAAAACTTTTCATCATTTCCTTCTGCGTTCCTGGTTTCCATTAGTGACCCGGTGTTGTGAACCTCTCTGTTTCGCAGTGGTTGGGGACGCTAAAGACATCGACTGGTTCTCCCCCAGTGGCGAGAAGATCCTCCTGTCTCGGCCGAACATCTCTGTGAGCCGCAGCGACGAGTCCACGTCCATCCTCACCATCTACCACGCCAACGTGGACAACGCTGGCATCTACAAATGTCTGGCCAAAAACGCAGACAAGGAGGCCCAAGCCACAGTTCAAGTGAAGATCTTCCGTAAGTACTGTCAGATTTTAACCCGTTTTTCCACCTATCAAAGTTTTTTTTTCCCCTTCAAATTGCCAATCAGTATCACATCCTGAACTGTGAGCCACCGACACACCACAAGAGCTCTTCAAAGGACAGGCAGACATCACAACAGGTTCTCCAAGCCGTGTATTTAGCATTTCTTTGCAATTCAAAGAATTGTTCTTACTCCAATTCAATTTGTAGTAAGAACGACACATATAAATGCACAAATCATATCAAGTTTCAAGGTAAATGAAGAGTTAATGAGCACTAAGAGCTCTCTGGCAGGCATGTGGGAAATAAGTAGCATTATATTCATTGTAACAGGTGATTTTCATCAAACGGAGCTCAGAGAGATTTGAACCCAACAGACTGGCATCATTACAGGGGGAGACAAATGTTCCTGATTGCTACAAATGACTCATCCTTCTGTGTGTTGGTTTCTAGGTGCAATGTTTTAGTTTGACCTTCACCCGACTTAAATAACCTCTATCCAGCGTCAGACAGCATCAGATAGCTTAAGAAGAGCTGTCAGTATCTTACCTGCTCTCACATTGTTTCACAAAACCATAAACTTCAGTAATTTTATGTAATTTTTGTTAAATGTTATGTAAGAGACCAAAACAAGAACAACTCCGAAGTGGAAGAAAGCATAAAAATCTGAAACGTGACATGCATTTATACAGCAATTTATATTTCTATTGCAAAGAATTTCATATCAGGGGATCAAAGCAAAAGGTGCAGCCTGAAAATAAATGCATGTTACTTTTTGCAGGTATTTCTTCATAAACAAAGCATATCTTGACCAGTGATTTCCCCTGTTATGCACCAATTTATGTTGACATTCAATTTATAACCCCAATAGGTTGAAGTTCTTGGTTATTTTTTAACCAGTATTGTGTGCAAAAGCAAATTCTGTATGTCTCCCTTGCATGTCATCCCTTAGTGGTGGTTGCAGAGCAACAACTGCATTTACCCTTCTATTTTTATCTCATAACATCTTTCAGATTATATGAGATAAGCACACACACCTCCTTATATCTGAACAAGTTTAAGTTTAATGACAGTCTTTTTAATTGAACTGATTTTGGTCGTTTTAAGTAAAAAAGCAGCACATCTAAATGGATTTCTAATACTTCTCAACAGAAAGGATCACCTTCCAGAGCGCGCCGAGTCCGCAAGAGTTCAACGAGGGCGACAGCGCCGACATCATCTGCGACGTGGTCAGCTCGCCGCCACCCACCATCATTTGGAAGCACAAGGGCTCCAAACTCCAAACCGCCAAAGATGGTGAGCCGCTTCAAACAGAACTCCTTCAGCGCTAGAGCTGCTTTCTCACCTCCAGCGCACCATTCTGCCCAATCCTCTTGACTCCCTGAGCAGTCACCTCGCCTTCATGCCATCACTGCCTGCCAGTTCATGCTTTCCAATCAATTTTCCACTTTCCGCTGAGTCTCCCTCTCCCTTCGCCTGTTATCTATGAAAAAAGTAAAGAACTTTCTGCAGGAGGTGATTTTATACCTCTTAGAAGACACATGGAAATAGTTTTTTTTTTTTTTTTTTTTTTGCCTAGCAGGAGGAAGTTATTGTCAGCTGAAGCAAGAGACGTTTAATTCACCCAAACAAGTGAACTTAACAAAAGTAAAGAAAGTGGAAAGATAAATGCAAAGGCTGTAATTTCATTTGAACCACTTCCAACAAAAGAAACTGCCCGGTGATGTTTTTCAGGTTAGCTAACAGCTGGCTTACCAAAAGGCTTATTGTATTTTTCCAGGAGAGCAGCACCCATATCTTTGAGAGTTAATAATTGGGTGAAGCTCTTCCCTCGCAGCAGGATTGCTGGGTTTGTTGCCTGATGTCTGTGTTTTCAATAGTTCACTCAATTGAAAAATCGTTCTCGTTAGCATATCAAGCGCTCCCCGCCTTTAGGCTTGAAAAGGGATTCTGGAAAGTTTGTCACCTGCTCTTTTACTGTGAAAGGAAGCCATAATTAGCTTTGATTTGCAGCAGTTACCATTGATTTTGATATTCAGCGGAAAAAAAAAATAAGCAGAGAAAACTTGACAAAAGAAAAACACAAGAAGCAATCCATGGAAACTTTAGAAATGATTCTGTAATAATCGCCTTTTTTCTTTACCGTTGATCCCTGTGTTTGAAACAATTGTAGCTTAGAAGCTGTGAAGCATGAAACAATTTTGGGCTTTAAAATAACTCCATGGAAATGGCTGAACAAATTAAACAAACCGAAGAACAAAGCTCGGCAGCAGAGCATTTCAAATGTTAAAAGAATATATAAAATGATATTGTTTTAACATTTAGTTTTGTGGGAATAAGATGAGAAGAGGATAAACTTTGATTTGGGTATATAGTTGTGTTAAAAATAAACGCCGTTTGTTCAAAAAAATAAAAAAGTAAAAAAAAATCCCTCCTCACAGCAGCACATTCTATTGCCATACTTTCTATTTCCATACAGGAAAGTGCATTGGGAATACTCCGCATCTTATTCCAGATCTAAACTTGGAGAATGTGTTTTATCAAACCACTCTACAGAAAATAAGGAAAAATGAATTGTATGCTGTCGAAATAAACTCCGGTGTCAGGGGTTTTCTGTGCAAACCCAAACATTTACAGCATAAACTGAAAAAGGCTAAAAAAAAAAATTTAGCTTTCCCGTGAATAGAATAAAAATACTGTTTATTGTGTCACAGTAGAAAAATTCAGGAGCAACAGCAGCTAAGTGACAGGCCATCAAAGCATGATAAGAGTATAAAGTCTATCACAAAAATTTACTAAAAAAAACATACAGTATATTAAAGAAAAAATTTCATCATATGTAGAAGATAGCTATTAAAAGTGTTGTGTATTGTTACATCAAGAAAGTCAGACTATTTACAATAAGTAACAATAAGAACTATGCAACAGCAGAAATATGATTTAATAAGAGTAAAATTGTGCAAATAAAAATGTATGTCAACATTTATTGCGTTTGTTGGGAGCAGTGATGACCTCAGACTCTGAGGGTTAGGGAGCTGCTGGGAGGAAGGATCTACCATAATGTGCCTCTGTGCATCAAGGATGCAGCAGTTTGTCACTCTTCAGTTCAGCAACAGCTTCATGCACAGTGTGCATGAAGCTGTTTTCAACAGTCATGTTACTTTATAATGATTAACCTTCACCTGAGTTAATATTAGTTTCTAAATTGGTTAATCCTGCTGGTGTTTTTAGGGTTGTAGTCTTGCTGTAACACTCGTTTGGAGGACATTTCTTCATTCACAAATTTGCAGCTGTCCTCAATCAAATCTATAAAGGCAGTTTATATGTGTCCATTATGTAACATGTATTTGTGTCCAATATGGAGGCATTTTTAGCCAATTTCTAACACTTGTGGGGTCTATATGTAAACTTTGGCTGAATTTCTGTTATTGTGGCAACTTCCTGCAGCCAAACATGAGTTTATTTTGGCTTTACAAACCTTTGTCCAACTCTGCCTCGGTGAATAATGTCAGTGTTGTGTGCACTGAGAAAGAAAACGGGCTTTGTTTTGCACTTGAACAGGGTCTGATTTAACCTTAACGTTACCCCTCCTCTGGTGACCGCTGGAAAGCCTCAACTTACCACAAAGTAGCGCTTAGCCTGCCTTTATTCTTGGCCTCTTATCAAGGAATGTGTTTTCCACTGATGGAAAAAATAAAAAAAACTCCAATTGTGACCAGCACTGAGAAGTGCTCATGTAATTTTCCTCAGTGCAGCAGTCGACCTAACCATATGTTTAAATGTCCACAAAGAGCTGCTTATGCTAAAGTGTCGCTGAGACATAAATTAAGACTCACATCTCTAAACTTGTGAGAAACAAAACTTGCAGTGATTTTTTTCCCATTCCCATCTGCAGTTAAACATATTATACATCTGGAGTGTGAAAATCCAAAACCTCATTTAAGAGGTTCAAAAATTCTATCACAATCAGATAAATACTTTATTTCTCTGCAAAGTTACAGTAATAGGATATGAGGAGAACTTGTTAGTCTCCTGAATTATGCAAATACAGAAAACATAGTGAGAGAAAACGTTTAGTATTCCATCTCAGCAGCCCTCCCAGCATATAATCACATTAATCAAATATCACACGTTCCTCGAGTTTACACAGCATGTTACCTTTTAAGACAAGTAGAGGCACTGAAATCTCATTTTAACTTGAACTGAAACCTGCCAAAATAAACTTTTGGAAAGCAGCTTCCAATTCTAGATTAGTTTTTATTTTTAGGTCCCTTCAAATTCAAAAGTTTACAAAAATTTCTTAGGAATGTGATGAAGTCGGTAGCAGTGCTACCACGAATGGTGACCTGTACAGAGTGTGCTTCGTCTCTGACCTAATGACACAAGAAATATGCACCAGTTTCCCTGTGACCCTGCAAGTATGAGCGGATGTAGACTATGATTGAATTAATGGACATACATTTCTTAGAGTTAAATTTTGTCAAGACTATGGCAACAACTCCACACATTAAGGCATCTAGACAGCACCTTTAATGGGACATCAGAAGAGAAAGGAAAAGGAAATCAAATAACCAAGCAGAAATACAGTCAACTTCAGTTACAACCTTGAGAATGTAGAATAAGAATTTGTGATTAGCAACAAGACAACATGAGCCCATCGCAGCTTGTATTAATAATGCAGGCTGCAGGTGGCCACGTGTCATTCCTGTATGACCACACGTTCTATCAGGAACACACACCATGGCACCAAGCTCAAATCAACTCAATCTCAGAAAAGAAGCTCAGTGTACTTGAGTGGCTTCCACAGTCACCACATATCCATCCAACCTGTTTGGGATGTTGGAACAGGAGATCCTCATGTTGAATGTGCAGCTGACCAACCTGCAGAAAGTCTGCACTCCAACCATGTCGGTGCCGAACAAGATCCCAGAGAATTAATCACACAACTTGTTGAATCTATGGGAAATTTTAGGCACTTTTGAAGGCAGCAGTGGAGGCCTGCACTATATTCAGCTCACCACAGGTGCAGCCAATTAAAAAAAACACAATGAATCCCAGGTAGCAGTGAAGGAATCCTAAAACTAGCTCTTTAAGCCCAGAGGGAATCCAGAGGGATAGAAACCAAAGACGGCTGGTATAAGTGGGCTAGTCCAGCTAAGCCCTCCCTGACATTTACAATAAAGTTGTTAAAATAAACGACTTGAAAATAACTACCAAAAAATAAACACATTTTAAAAATAATGCATGACATTTTGTTACATTTTCAACAAACCTGGTGTTAAACCACCAGGGTAAATCCCAGGGTCTTTCCGAAGGGCTAAATGTCTGTCACGGCTCAGACGTCCAGCCACGCCCCCTCGGTTTGGTTGGCCCAGGGCCAGCCTGCGGCCACAGGGCTCATCCAATCGGGACAGACTTTCGTCAAGCTAGGGTGTTAGGCCGTGGTTTGGCGCAGATCGAGAAGGAGCAAAGGCGAGCAATATTAGCATAAATGAGGTGGATTATTTAGCCTTTTTGCGTCCCAGAAAGGTTGTTGGAGTGAGTTTCTCTTTATATAAAGTAGGCCTCATTTAAAAATATATTGTATCTTGTTTCATTTTATCAGTATGATTGTGTCCAGTGCTGGGGAATTAATGCAGGGGAATTAATTTGGACAACTGCAATGGCTCTATGTAATTGGTCTTTGGTATGTTTCCATGGTTGTTTTTATGGTAGTCTATAGCTGGTTTTCTCCTTATTTTTCAAATTGGATGGTTCTCATTTGATTTGAAAGAAAGAAAAGAAATACATAAAAGTAACAAAAACAATAAATGCATGTCTGATTTAAAATGTTCTCATTAGGAATGAAAGATAGCAATTCTTCTAGTTTAGAGCTACTCATCATGAAATGTGTACTTGGAAAAGCAAAACTGATTGAGCTCAGTTGGGCTTAGTATATTTTGAGTTAAAGGCACATTCATAATTAGCGTACTAATTATGCTAATTAGTATAGGGAATACTTTTATAGGGAATGCCTTTGTAGCATTCCCTATAAAAGTTCCCTCTCACCTTTTCACTTTATTTACTCACAGGTTCGGTGACCCCCTGCGTCCCAGCAGTTCAGTATTCTCAGACTGTTCTGTGGAGTGTAACTCAAAATCTTTCATGAATAATCCAACTATTCATGGGTCTTTCAGTAAAGCATATCTAAAATATTTGGAAAAATGCCTCTTGGGAAGCTGAAATACCTACATTGCTGCTTTTGGCTGATGTGTGCAAAGCGGCCAATCCACAATCCCTATTTCCTTTTCTTCTTTTTGTTGTTGATTGGCTGTAGCCTGGAGCTGAGGTCAGGAAGAGTGTGGCCATCTGCTTCAAGTGCTAAGATAATTTCCACTGTGTGTATCAATACATGTCAAGGTATATTTGATGTCTGAACATGCAGTGGTAAGTGTTTTTAGAGGTTGTCTCAAATCATGGATTTCAGCTATTCAAGGGCGGCGGTGGTCAGTAAGCCCCATGAAAACTTAACGTCTACTGTATAGACTTCACACTGCAGTAAAACAAAATACAGTTATGTATTTCTGTGGATACAATTAACACAATTATTTGACTTATTCAGGTAAAAAAACAATGTAAATGGAGCGCACCACATGTAAAAAAGTAATTGTTGCCAATAGCTAATACCTTCTATCAAGTGTTTGCTATTTAAGATAATGATTCTTCTCCTGCATACTTAGAGCCCAGTCTGAAGAACCAAGCTCAACAGACTGGTCTGCAAAGCTGCAGTACAAAAATGCCAAATAAGTATGTACACGTTCTACATACTTATATGAGTATGTGTTTGAAGACACTGCACCAATTCCTCCATCAATTTCTGCAGCTCTTAGCCAAAACATTAGTCAAATTAGAGGCCATCTTTATCAAAACATTTTGTTTAATAGATTACTTTGATGTAGTTTTTATACTGTTTTTATTTTTGCCTTTTGTGACAAACTTACTCATTGGAATCACACCTGGCTTTACGGTTTGAGTATCTGAAAGTGAAATAGCCAAAGAGAAGTATTAAATGTTTTTTTTATAAATAATATTTCTTTCATATGCATGCACATGAAGAAAAAAATATGTGACCCTTTTTCTGTTTCTGTCAGCCCAGAGTGGAGTTGAGTATTTCTGAGATGTTAATGCTTGATTCTGCATTTGTCTATTCTTTCCTTTTAGTGCGCTACAGGTTCATGGATAATGGCCACCTGCAGATACGTGGCATCAAGAAGGTCGATGAAGGAATGTATAATTGTGAGGCTCGTGTTATGGCCAGGGGAGAAATTGACTTCCGGGCGATAAAGGTCATCGTTAATGGTAAGCACTCCATCTGCGTCTACTTTAGCGCTCAGCATGAGCGGTTTCCCAACAAGTCGCTAGTTTGCTCATAATGGAGGGATGTGATTAGGAAGACTGTCTGTCAGAGGAAATTTACTCTTTTAAAGCTTAAGATGTGGCTCGTAATATTCTGCATATGTCCACCTGTCCTGCTCTGGCACTCGGTCTGCTCATAATTTGAGAAAAGCACACGAATGTGTTCAGCCTCATCCTGAGTCGGTGGGGACGCTGCTCTTGATTTTTATTTTCTTCGCTCTGTGGTTTTTGATAATTAGATGGTGGCTCCACTTCAGGTTTCAGTCTAAATCACTCCAGACAGGGTCACAGAACGGCGAAGGATATTTATCACAAATATTAATCAAAAACGTAGGAGTGATATTTAAAATTACCTGCAAGCTGATCTGTAACTTGTGTTCCTCTAACTTTTTGTCGTCTTTCTGTTTCAGTTCTTCCCACAATCCGTGCCAGGAAGACTGAAGTCAACGCCACAGCAGATGTTGGTGAATCTGCCCTGTTGGCCTGTGATGCAGACGGCTTCCCTGAGCCCACCGTTACCTGGGCGCAGTATGTCATTTTCCCTTTCTTATGAATGAAATCACTACCAATAAGCATTGGGAGACATGCTTTCATGGTTTAAATTAGGGAAAAAGGTGTAATGTTTTTAAGGTCACATTACTGAGCTTCTCTGCTTTAATAAATCAGCTTCACACAGCTGTAGACTATTTTGAAAGAGACAAATAAAAGGCGGTCACTGAAGATGATGTGGTGTTTCTGATCTTATTAATGAGAAGTTTAGTGGAAGGAAAAAGAATGTTTAAAAACACAGATCCCTACATAAATTGGCTCCATCAAAAAAATTGGGTTTCACATTTTTGATTGACGGATTTTGAAGTAAAATAAACTTTTCATTGTTTTATTTATTTATGTATTTCACTGCACCTGTATAAATGAACAAGAAGGTACCCTTAATGTTCTTCCTCAGTTATTTGCTGCCTGCTCAATTTACTCGATTCTCAAATTACTTTCACAAACTTACTTTTATTTTTTTTATTTTTACAGTAATTAGTTTTAAATAAAATAATTTATCTCACTACTTTTGTTATTTGATTTTTGTGAGATAAGTGAAGCGAATAGCACAACATCATCTACACATTCTGTAATGACATGGTCGTAATCCCTATTAAAGTTCTAAAACAGATGAACAGAGATAGTTTAGTTTCAAGGCTTTTGGAAAAATAGACATTAATCCAAGCCACTGCGATCCAGTTTTCTGTGTCTCAGTAAGAACTGTTTTTTTGTGGGCTGCTAAAGGTGTTTGAGCAAAAGACCTGCGAAGTGAACCCGCTGCCTTTTTCTTTCGTTTCCCATCTCTAAAGTAACAACATCGTCCTTGAAATGGGCGACAAATACAGCTTGAACGAGGATGGTTCTGAATTGGTAATAAAGGAAGTCAAAAAGGTGGATGAAGGAGATTACACTTGCATCGCCAAGAACAAGGCAGGAGAGAAAACCGAGGAAGTCAGCCTGAACGTGTTCGGTAAGAGAATATCTCCATTCCCGTACGTTTTTTTTTTCTCTCTCTCTGTCATTCTGGCCTTTCCTGTCGCACTCATTGACATTTACTGCATACTCCTTTCACAGCTTTTCCATTAGCTGGATGTAGCCGTACACAACATGTAGCGCTCAGCACGCCCTGTTGAAAAGTGATTAATACACCCTTCAGGTCATTTTAAACATGTATCAGTGTAGACTTTTACCCTAGAAGGTATCTAACATTGAATAAAAAATCTCTCTGAAGCCTTTAGGCCCCCTAATGCTAAACTAAGCTGCCAAATAGATATTTGTTTTAAATAGGATAATCAAATATTAATTGATTTTTTTAAATACACCAATGTACTAAATTAAAGAGCTATTTCTCTGTTTATGAGACATCTGGGTGTCACCTAATCGCATGTACTTTCAAATCTAAAGGAATTTGATCTGTAAAAACCAAACATGGTCATTTGTGCAGTAAATATAAATTACTGAAACATATTCTGAAGGCAAGTATTGATGGCACTGATAGAGGGTTACACTTGGACTGAAATATTCTACATTGACTCAAGAAATCTTTGGACTTCGATTTGTGAAATAAGAATAATTTTATTTTATTTGACATATACATGTATAAGAGAGCAGAGCAGTTTAACATGCAGCAGTTGGGTGAGATGGAGAATGATGCTGAGGCAAAACAAATTTTATTTTTGCTTTTTCTCTTACAACTAATTTTTGTCATTTTTAACAAGTGAGTTATAAAAAATTGTATTGCCAAAGAAAAAATGTTACGCATAAACATAACATTTTCAAAAATGATCTTTGGATCATTTATCAGATTTTTATTCATCATAATTCTGTAAGCTCTGCTATGATTAAATCTGTAATCGAGTTACTCATCATTTATATTTATTTATTTTTATGGATTTCTTATATTAATCTGACAATTTTGAATTGTATTTTGTTAATTTAACAAATTATTAGTTTTTTTTTTTATTTTTTGTAAAACAATTTTTTAAAATGTTTTTATTTACCTATACTTTCCCAACTTTTCTTCCCAAACATTTATAAACTTCAACCTAATTAGCTTACACAAGGCTTGTTGCATAAAATCAATCATTAGTAGTTATTAGAGAAATTCAGTTTTGAATTGCGTGGAAAAGCTCTTAAATAAATAAGTGAATAAAGACTATACATTGGTTTATACTTGGTTTCTTTGTCTTAATTTGAGCATTTTAAGTAACTTGAATTCCATAAACAATAAAGTGGAAACAAGCAGAGGAGTCGTCTGTGTCACTGAGAGACCCATGGCTTTGATAAGATCACATTTGATACTTTTGATCTTAGAATGAGTCGATACAAAACTACTTTACTTCTGGACTTGTTTTGCTGCCTAAAGTATTTCCCCCCCAAAGAAGTTTGGAGAGATGCTAAATCTCCGTCAAGGGAGAGTGTTTCCACAGTGTGAAATCTGAAGAGTCGGCTGCAACAAACACCTCCCCTGCTGAGTCCTGAGTCGAAAGGCATTAATACATTCTGTTCTGTTTCCAGTGCTGCCGAACATTACCTACTTCAACAACGAGACTGCCTCAGAGTTTGATGAGGAGGTCACCCTGACCTGCGAGGCCTCAGGTGACCCCACACCCACCATCTCCTGGAGATTTGGAAACAGAGTTTTCACTGAAGGAGAGCAGGTAAGGGGCAACAGTCCTGCCACTAACAATTCTGTAAATGTTTCTCATTATTAGAGCATTGTGTTTGAATTTCCTAAAGAATTCTCCTTTATTTGACCCTATTGCAGAGGATATAAAATGCTTCCATTCCTTTGTTTAAATAGCAAACGGTTAAGAATGATTCAGACATTTTGTTTTGACAATTTTATGCACCATTAACCTGGAAAACAAATATGTTTCAGGGAAAATGTTAAAAATAGAAAAGCTGCAGCAACCTGTTTGCATCAATATATACAGCCTTAAACTGGCAATTGAGTTTCAGGATTAAAGTTCAGCTTAATCCATAGTTTGCAGAGAGAACTCAGATTTCTAACTTGTATTTATTCTCCTGAATGATCTTTGGAAACCACTGACTCTGTGATTGACTGTTATATAAAATAATGAAATGAATAAACTAGGGAAGCAACTGGTAAGCCAAAGACAAACGAATGCTTGAATTACATAGCATGTAAATGTAACTTTTGTAAAAGTACATTTCATGCATATTTGCTGAAACTAATACGATGTTGTGACAAGATAAAATGAGACAGACGCACAATGCTCACAACTCATCATTCCAGGAAAACCGTTTATTTGCCGTCATCGGTGGCCATGCTAACTCATGACAACAAATGCCTGACAACAGGGCTGTCTTTAATGCCAGTGTTTAGCAACTTTAAAGATACACTAAAAAAACTGGGAGACAGAAATATATCATTTATCACAGTGTTAATCCATTACAATTATGCTATTTTGCTGTTCTTGGGCATAATCACTTTGAATGCCTGCAAGACATGGCTCAGTTTCAGCAGAGACATCACAATCATTTAGTCACCACTCTTCTTTCAGTCTTTATTCTGTCTTGAAAATTACTTCAGTAAAGTATATCTCCACTGTTTCCCATCTAACAGGATCATCATCTCAAATTGTCTCGCTTCATTTCGCACACCAACCTGCAATCATTTCATCAGCTGAATTTGCTCATTGTAAACTCCAGAGTCTAACAGCTCTCTAAACTCGTCACGGTCTTCTCTGGAATGGTTTTAATTTTTAATAGATTTCATAGTGAATGTCAGAGGCGAGTGTGCAGTTTTCTATAAAACCAATTTCCAGGCAGTTCTGTGTTACTGCCTGGAAATTACTTCCCAGTGTTAACACTCCACCTATCCCTGTTCTATAGAGGTTATTAGCCCCTATAGAGGGTATTTTTGTGGAAGTGCTTTGAGAAGACCCTACAGGAAAATTATGTGTAAATACGCTAAAAAGGTGAAAATTAATTTTGTTGACATTACTCCTAATTACTGATTTTATTCAGGTTATTTTTTTCTGTCTGTGCTCATCTGCCAAGTGCTGTAATGACCCACTTTAGAAATGAGTAGGCTCATTTTTTCGGAGATGATCATCATCAGGGAAACTAGATTACGGTTGTGGTTTTGATTTCTTAATATTTTTAAACGTGCATTTGCTTAAGAGCTAAAGTCCTGCAACTTTTAGATGTGTCTCTGCTCCAAAACAGCTGAGCCAAATGATTAGATTGGCTCCTCAGCCTGGTTTCAAGACTAACAAAGGCCAGTAATGAACCGTTTAAAAACAACTGCAGTTCAAATATGACATGGTGCACGTAACTTCAAAATGCAATTAAAAAACATTTTAAGGGAAGTACTCCAACTCACATAATAAGACTACTTTGTATCAAATTAGAAAGAATCAAAGGCATTTCAAATCCAATTAAAATTGAGAAAAGCAACAATTTAAACCAATTTATAAAACAATGCCACTAAATGCCAGTTGACAAATACTTATCTGCCTTAGAAATCCCTGCTGATTTTATCAATTTTGCTGACTTTGTAGTTTGCCTGCTGACCATGCATGTGGTGACAGTGGAGAGAAATCTTCCCTTTAATGGGGAGAAGCATCCAGCAGAACCAGGTTCAATATGATCAGCTTTTGGGTTCAGAGGACAGGAATAAGCTACAAGACAAACACAACACAAAGAAGGACTTAACAAAGATACAACAATATCACAGTTAATGACTCTGTTCCAGAAAAAGAAGTGACCCTGGGATGTTTTCTATGTTACAGAAAAACAAAGGCTTTTTCCCAGCAGTTGTTTCAGTTGTAAATGTCCTTAAATTAACACTTTCAGTTTTGTGTACTGTTGCACAGTTACAATTCAGGAAGAGCTCTAATAAAAAAAAAAACAATGTTTTTTTTTGGAGGCTCTTTTGGTTAAACTAATTTCTGTTTCTTCAAACTGAAGTCAGCCAGAGGAAGATGAGATTCATAACCTCTTTATCAAACTGTCTCTCCAAAGAATTGAAATTGTCCATTTAAAAGGTGAGAACTATTGGTATTATTGCTCTGCATTTTGTTCGGTACACTGATCACTATGCTCTGGCATCAGAATCTCATGCAAGTGTTGTTCCTTATTAAAGTTTGATAGTGTAAAAACATATCCGTCACAACAATCTGTCCTGACAACATGTGCAGCGGTAAATATAATCATCCTGCTGCAGACTTACAAACAAACATCCAATTTATGTAAAACAAAATGGCTGATATAAGATTATACAAGCAATAAACACGAAATGCCTGCCGTTTCTCTTGCATCAACAGTTTGGACTGACCAGCTTGACTGCTGGTAGTTTGCCACTAAATAAAAAGAAAACACAATTTGGCACAAAATAACCTTGAAACTCTTCGTCTTTGAGGCCACTCCGTTGAAGTGTTTTTATTCTGCATCATGAGATGGGATTATTATGTAAATGATGCTTCACATGACGGAGGCATGAAATGGCAGCTGTGTTATTCTTGGAGCAGCACACAGTCAGTGCACTGAACACCTGTCCTGTGGGGTCCCAGAGGATGTGCAGATATTTAGGCCACAGTGGCCTACTTCACTTTTCATGCTTTGTCCTCAGGTCTCCTGTGATGGATGATGGGCTAAAGCTGCGGCATGACTCAAATTTTAATATCAAGTTCAGATCTGAGAAATTAACCAAACAAGCATTGGTCTTATGTAAGCACAATGTGCTTACTGTAGAAAGAAGGTGTTAGAATATTAAATAAAGAGAGAATCATAAAATGTAGTCATCATTTGCAAATAACATAAAGCAAATAAAAAACTGACATGATACAAGTAAATTATTCAATATAAAATCTTAACTCTACAAAGATGTCTAAACAGCTAGACAAACTAGAACTCCGGCTGTAGATACCTGGTTTCTTGTAAAGGCTGTTTTTTTAGCCTCATTGAGTCTGGTTAAGGCTATGATCTGACCAATCCGATCATGAATGTTTATGAGACAATCACCCAGTGACTGTGGCCACATAGTGACTCAAAACCTACAGTCAAGTGTCATCAGGACAAGTTTTCTCAGAGACGTTGTACTCCATAGTCTGAAACAAGAAACAAACATATGGAGGTTGAATAAAAGTGGTCAAAGAACAAAACCTTGAGGAACCCCTCATGTAATCATGCGAATTTTCAACTACTAAATGACTAAAGCAGCTCCATTTAACCAAGAAGGATTGGAACCAGTTTAGCACAATACCAGACAACCTCATTTGCTTCTTGACCAATGCAGTCTCAGGTAAAAAACCTGATTAGAAAACACTAAAGACATATTTTTCTGTATAAATTGCGCACATTTGTTAAAAATTTTGCCTGCGGAAAATTTAAGGTTACATACAAGTATGTAATCATTTACAACTGTGGTTTGATCCGCATGTGAAAAGAATTACAACCTGCTGGTATTGATATATCGGACAATTCTTCATGAAAGTTTTAGTAGACATAAATGTTGATCAGAAACTTTTCTCCAGATATGAATCTCTAGCCACCATCATTGATATACAATATTCCAGACGTTTAGTGTCTTTGACACAGCTGGCACATCCCCAGTTTTCTCTTATTAACTGTGCAATTTATCACTGCCAGAAAGTGGAAGCAGTCACGGCTGCATTGCAAGTTTCTGAATCTTATCTTCCACCTGCACAACAGTCCTTGCCTTGCCCATCGCTGCTCACAGTTGTCAACAAATGTCCCCCATTCACAGCCTGTCACAACCCCCCTTTATACCTATTTATCACTGTCACAAATGTTTCGATTTTATGTTGGTGCACTCTGAAATTTCTTCTAATCATTTGGTGACGGTTCTGTAATTTCCACTGGATTGTGATTCATTATTAGACTTCTGTTTGTGACACTCTGTCATCTGTTCTCACATCCATTAGACTTGAAGAGGACAGTTTCATTCATAATGATGTCCAACAGAAGTACAGTCATTTAACATAACAGCCCCTACTTGTTTTTTTTTTGTTTTTTTAATCAGTCATATTTTCTTTTTTTTAAGAAGAACACACTCTGACATCTCTGTGCAACTTCAAATTTAGGATTTCCATTGTCAGGTTATATTTCCTGGCCCACCTTGGAAGCAGAGAGCACTGCTATTAAAGAAAACGCTGATTAGGAAGAAAACACGTCTATGTGCCTGCAGCGGCTCACCTGTAATTAGTTTCATTGCCTTTTTTCCACAGTGTGGCCAATTCCTTTTTATGCTACATTAATTAATAAGCAGCTAAGAAGGTCCCATTCAGCATATCAGAACGAAGCTCCACTCTGGCGTTCCAACTGGAGCTGTTTGGTCTCCGTTTCCTACTCTCATTCCCTGATTCCACCTGAACATCCATTCAGATGAAAAATAAATCTTTACCTCTGATTAATGTTCAATAAAATGTTCAATAAAATTAGATCAACTTCAGGTTGGCAGGCAAGTTGTTTGACCTTGTTTTAGGTTTCTCAAGCTTGGTTAAACTTTTATTTACAAAGAAGTTCTTAACTATTTCCATAGAGACTCCGTGTTTGTGATAACAGGATGATTTCTGTCTGTGTTTGAACTACAACCCTTTGCAAAAAATGGTGACTTTTATTTTGTTTCACATTAAAATTTATATATATATATATATATATATATATATATATATATATATATATATATATATATATATATATATATATATATATATAAGTATGTATAAAGTTGAGTATGTATAATGTTGAGTTTTTTCTGTTACTGCTTCATTGCTTTCAGGTATAGATGCCAGATCATAGTAGTTTTTAGAAACTTAAGTACACCTTTAGAGCAAAGAAAACTGCTCTAAAGGGACAGTTATTACTGCTCAAAAGCCTTGTGTACAAAGGCTTTTGTGTACAAGCACAGTTCTTCATATTTCATCCGAAGTGTTGAAATCGGCTCTCATTGACGTAGTCACAAAGCAAAAAACTAGAAGAGACCTTGAGTTTCTCTCTGCACCCCACAGAGTAGGTAACCTGGTGAGGAAGGTAGATTAGCATCTCTGAGGTTCACTGCAGAAGGACGACAGCAAAGAATCGCCACGTCTGCTTGACAACCAAATATCTGAAGGCTTTTGTGTACTGGGGCTGCTCTGTTTCTCTGTGTATGATCAGTTTTATGTACAGGAATGAAAAGAAGACAAACGCTATTGAAAATCGTCTTTTGAGTCTAGTGTAACATAGTTAATGTTATATAATTCTGTTTTACAGTCAAGACCTGTTGCACAATTTTCTAACTCATTCAACAGCTTTTTAATGCTATATTTAATATATTCTATTAGCATATGAGATGACTTGTGTACTTTGATGTTTTGATGTCAGAAAGCAGTTTTCATGGAATTTCAGCGTCCTGCACGTGAGACATTCAAAATAAATGAAATCCATTCTGCCGTCTGTATGGATCCCGTCTGAAAACTCATTCACTCCACTGTTTTTGCCTTTGCTTCCTCTGTTTTTGTTCTTCCCAGGCATCTTGGACGCGACCAGACAAATATGAGGTATTGCCAAAAACTTCATAGCCCAAAGTCAACTAATAATACCCTGAACTTACACCCTAGACTCCCCCGTCACCATTTCCATTGCGGAGCAGAGGTGTTGTAATTTAGTATGCATTTAATATGCTTTAGATTTTAGCTGTTCACTTAATGTGTAAGTCATTAGGCACCTAGTGCAGTTCATTTAATCCAATTAGTTCCAGTACACATTTAGACTTACCCTATTTAGTTGTCGCTAGTTGTTGTTGTCGGCAGATTTTATCTCGCGATGGAGGTGCGATCTGAAAGCAATCTGAGCTATTTTCTCCTGGCTGTGCTGTTATTTCCTGCTGGAGGGTCTGCTTATTTCTCGGCCTTTAAAATCATTTTTGGGAAATGAAAATAAAGTCTCCTGCTTTTTGTTGTAGACAGATCAGGGAGCCGGCGGCATGGTGCTGAATAAACCACGGTCTGCTCTGCTGTGAGCAAGTCTTGCGTTGAACTCACATAAATCCTAACGCAGTGGTAGAAAACGCTGCGCCTCCTGCTAGGGGCCAGAGGCCGGCATGTTTGGCTATTACTACACACTTGCATGACTCTTTCAGTCATTTGGAGCCTGACTGTGAGACAGATTGTCCAGATGACAAAAATGTCTCACCTTTCCCAAGTGGTGTTCATGTAATTGTAATTTTTTCTTCTCCAGTTTTACAGATGCATATGTTAGAAGAATTAAGTCAATTTTGTTAGTAACAAAATTTGTGCTTGTTTTTTCTGACTGAATGCAATAAAAGTGGATTAAATCGGATTGAAGCTGGATAGTAAGGATGAGTTAGACAGACAGTGAAAAACTGAGGCTTTGGTAGAACGACGTACATCCTCTCCACAAACCAAAAGAAAATATCTAAATAAGAGACAGACACTAACAATCTCTCTCATCCGACTAAAAATACACGTGTACCTCGGTTAAACTGGCATATCATTGAAAAGTGACTTTATCTCAGTAATTCCGTTCAAGAAGTGGAAACTTGTGAAATACTTGATTCTGTCATCCAGCAAATGAAAACCCAACATCAACTTTCTCACCAAGTAACAGTATTACATCAACCCAATAAAAAAAAAAAAAGCTAACTCAGTGTTCGTTTGGGCTCCTTCCTCATGAATGAAGGCATCGGTGCGGTGTGACCTGGAGGAGGTCAGCCTGTGGTTCTGCTGAGGCGTTCAGGAAACCCCGGTTGCGTTCACTGGACCTTCGGGTCTTCTGCTTGGTTGATTTTCATGTCTCATGTTTGGAAGGTATTCGGACAATACTGTACAGATTTTAAAGTCAGACCAGTTTGCTGGTGTTACCACAGTGATCAATTAAACTGCTTTGTGTAGAATCAATGTATGTTGAATAAATTCCAGTTTTTAAAACTGAATTACTGTAAAAAAAAAACTGTTTTCTAATTATATTTACTGCCTGGTAGGTGCATCTGTGTTACTAAGACATAACTCTTCCTGTACTAAGTGTCATCACATGCAGAATCCTAACATCTCTTTATAGAAAAACATACAATTAGCTTCTGACCTGTTGTAATTAATTTATGAACCCACAGGGCTGTAGATAACCACCAGCATGCTTAAATTATAGAAAATTATGTTTGTGTTTGACACGAAGGAATCCCAGAGTCTGACCATGACCGAGTCGCCATGGTGATTATTTCACGGGAGCAGATTTATGGATCCGTGGGCCAAATGTACATTACATGCAGTGTGATTTAATTTTTAGTGGTGTTTTTTTTTTTCAGCTCTGTTCAACAACCCTGTGGTCACTCTGGAATATGAGCAGAATATAGAGTTTTTGTAGAATTATGGTTTTCCCAGCTAACAGTATTTTTTTTCTTGAAAAAGTGTTTTTTGTGATTTTTATTTTCTTTATAACTTTTATTTTCTAGATAGTTTGATACTGTCTTCCTGTCTTGTTTTGTGTAACTTTGTATCTCTAAAATCTTTGGAAGCACAAAGTATCTTAATGATCAGATAAGAACACAACATGTTCTGAATTTCTATAAATAAGGTAAATAAGGTTCACCAGATGGGTAAAGTATTTTGTATAATCATACCATGTGGTAAGAATTTGAATGAATTTGGTGAACACCTGAGGCCAGTGATGAGTGTATTGAACAATTGGTTTCTAAGGAGCTGCACCGGTTTGAGTAGACTCAACTGGTGGCACGCTGAGTGCAGATAGTGTTTCAGGCAGTTTCTGGAGCATCCGACAGTCAGTTAAGACAGCCATCTCAAGATATTTTTGTACTTACAATGTGTTTGAAAAGTAACAACTAAGAAACAAACATGTTTAGTGTAAAAGAGTCGAAACAGGCAATGAAGGATATTTACAGGCCTTAGTGGAGATAAATGACTTCACTTTTTGCAATTGCATGAACCCAGCTGGTTGCGATGTACGATCAGCTGGACCCTTAATTTCTGGTAATGTTGTCATATGAGTATATGGGCCATCCTCTGTGTCCAGTGACCTTCACCAATTTGGCTGACTTCACCATCTGCCTGTAACTCTCTCTCTCTAGACACATTGCCACAACTTGTGTGAGATCTGCCAACCAAATTCAGGTCAGCTCTGTCCAATACAGTCCAGTCATAAAGTTTGAAAAAAAAAAATAAAATAAAGTGTGCAACAAGTTTATTTTACTTAACAATCGTCTACTGCTTTTTAAAACCCCAATAAAATACACTGCTTGTGAAACTATTATTGAATGGGTATAAAAAGATCTGAAGGGTCCCTGTACAGTCCTATTAAATCCTAATTACGCAGTTTTGTTAAATCAGATTAATCCTTTGAACTGTTTTATAAGACCTAATGTAAAATAGAGAAAAAAACATTATGCAAGAATGTCTACAGCTTACTGGTAAATCTTTTTCTCAGGGTGAGAGAATGGCAGATGACCAGGTTAATGTATGATTATGACTGATGTGCTACTCCTCTCTCTTTTCATTGTATTTCTTTGTTCACTTTAAGAAGCAAAAAACCTTGACCTTTTAACAGGAGCTTGCTTTGATCAATAATTATCTGTTTGTTAGAAGACACTGGGTCGAAGGTGCTGAGTGGAGCGTGATATTTCATCAACATTAGGAAAGGTCAAACAACCATGTTGTAATTCACTGATTACAAACACGGCTGTAATATGAACTTCATGAAAAGATAGCACAGAATCCATGGGCATCCTTCATCAAAACTGAGGGATTTAATTAGATTAAAAAGTACTCCAATGTCCCAATTATGACATCCACATGTCTTCAAAGAGTCATTGTGGACAGTGATGTTGCTGAGTGTTGGACAGCTCTTTCAGGCAGCTGACCAGAAGTGCACAGCAACACGTCAGGAGAGACAACCTGCTCCAACACTTCCTCTTGCATCTCGTCAGAAAGACTTCGGCTCTTTCTGATGAGAAATAACTTTTTGTGCTCCAGCTACATCTACTGGATAAAGATATTATCCTTTAAAGATTGACAATGAAGTTTTAGCATAAATTAAGCATAGATAGATTGAACATAGATTAAGCTTCAATCTATAACTTAAATATTCACAAGTCTTCTGAATCCATTAAGATGACTTCATTTAGTGGAACACAACATAACTAAATGTCACTTTGAATTTCCGCCAAATATAAACATGGGCAAACCTTATATGATTTCTATGAACACTATATGTCCACAAATGAACTTGAAAAGATCTCATAACTCTAGAAATATTTGGGGTTTTGAAAGGATAATTTTAATATGCTAATGCATTTTGGCAGATGTAAAACCTCGGTATAATTTGATAGTTGGTTACTGAATTCTTGACATTTGCCTTTGAATCAGCAAACTGAATGAAAAAGATCTTGTTTAGGGCCAAGAAGGGTTTTTTTCAGAATCTGGTAAAGTTCTGGAAGAAATAATTTCTTCATATGTCGCATGTTTCTAACAGTACTCAGCAGCCTGTTTCGAGGATATTTTAATTTAGTTTGCCAACCTAAGCTTGAGCTTTGAAATGATAATTTCTCTCAGAGGAAAACATTTGAATAAATAAAAGAATCCCATTAGTGAGGTTCTTGCTGTTTTAGAAAAAAAAAAGTTTGATTCATTTATTGTTCTTAAATTACACCCAAACATCCACGACCCCAAACAGGACAAATCAGCTGTGTTTAATGAATGCACACATCTCCAGCTCATTTGACTGAAGGCTCAGTCTGTAAGCAGGGATGAAATGTGTTTTCAATGTTTTTAATTCTGCTATTCAGTGAGTTACATTTTCAGCAGAGCAGTTTCATTTATGTTTTGAGTTGTTTTTTGTGAGATGTTCTACACAATTCAGAAGATTTTTTGAGTAAACAATATTTAAAAGTGCCTACATGTTTGTTCACCTCAAAAATGACAAAAAAAAAATTCTCAGTTTGTTAAAGCCTGCATGATGATGTTTTGGCTGTAAAAGTGTGACTGACACCATAAAGCCACAAACATGATTTAATGCAGCAATAGTTTCACTTTAGTAACAAACTATGTATCTTCTGTTCTATTTTGCTGAAAATAATTACTGAAATTTATATCTGCAGGTGTTTTGCAAGCACAATGTTTCTTTTCTTTAGCGCCATTTTAAATATACTGGTCACCTCTGAAACAAAGTCCCATGAAAAAACATGGCAGTCAGTACTGGTACTGAAATCAATTTAATGTGGAATGAAAGCTGATAGATTTACATCTCTTTTTTTGTTGGAGCCAATAAATTAATTATTTTTAAAGGTCTGTCCATTCACTTCTGTTTCTGCAGTCTCATTAAAGTATTATTCTCCATTAACCTTTCTGTGTTTGCATTTAAACAGCCTGCATGGTGCGAGGGAGACAAGATTAATGCTGCCCTTTTTAAAATGTTTCAGGACACGCCTTTAGATTTTTTATTAAACAAGAAAATATTTATGCCACATGTGCATAACAATTTTCTGCAAAAAAATCCCAGTCATGCAGTAATTCCAATACTGAAAAATATGTATAAATAAATATAAACAGCAACAAATAAAGCACAGAGTGTGCTTGAATTATTAATGGAACATTGTGGAAGCTAGAAGGAAGATGTATGTCTCCTGCTGATGTGTGGGAAGAAAAGTCATCACTATATTTATAACTGCTGGAGTTTTTGTGCAGCCATGCCATTATTATTCGTTTTATATTGCTCTATTGTATGTTTCATTGCTACTGGCTGCTGTAAGTTTTGCTGCAGAATTTCGCAGCTTTCAGAAAGTCTATAACAATGAATCTCTTCGTGTTTATATAGACTGCAGATGGGATGGAGAGAGAGGAAAAACAGGTTGCATCACAAACTATTGTGATGTACAGCAAAGATCAAGGATCAGGCCAGGTGCATTGCTCTATTATAAAAGCGAGTGGAGTACTTTGAGTAAACTCGTTTGTCAGATGCACACCTGTGCAGGAGCTCTGAGTCCTCCGCAACACGGAATAGCAGCCAGGGCAATAAACAGGATCCTCTAATGAAAATGAAAGCAGGATTTAACAAGCTAATTTTCCTCACTGCTTTTATGCTGCTCCAGCTGTAAGTATGCAGCTTGTAAACCTGCAGAAAGGCCTCTAAATAAGTAGGGACGCTAATCAACTTCAAGAGTTTACTGCTTGGAGCTTTTTAAAACTTACTGACTTCCAGTTTAAGTGAGGCCTAATTTACTTAGAGCCCCTTATGAGCACAGATAGATCCATACTGTAAGGAATTTGACCAAAGAATGGGTATTTGGTGCTTCTTTTTTTAAAGGTAAAGGTAATTTTATTTGTGTAGCACATTTTTAGCAACAAGGCAATACAAAGTGCATTAAAGAATTATTAGGAAAGACAAACAAAATAACAAACCAAAGGAAAGAACAGAAGAAGAAAAAGCTAATAATGTCGATCCAAAGGAAATAAACTGGATGCTCCTTTCAGGGTTGGTAGATAAGTACAAGTAAGTATCCTCTGGTCTAACTCCTCTTCTGGTTTGGAAAAATAGGACTATTAAATGTCTTTTTTTTTTTTACACTTAAGTTAAAGGACAGGTCAATAATGTGCTAAAAGTTAAAGTGAAGAGGAAAAACATAATATTTCCGATTGTGGTGGTGTTCAAGTTACAATAACATAATAATTAATGCATCTAATATCAGTAACTTCAATCCACCACCAGATCAGTCAGCATTAACTCAACAGGTCATGATGTGTTTGCACAACTAAGTCAACCAGTCACCCAAAGCATCACCTTATATCTTGCTCTCATCTCTCGATTGTACCTGGTTTCTAGTGAAGTCACCTGTTTTTATGTGTGTTTAATTTCCAATGTCTTTTTCTATAGAGCCTTGACAGGAACGTTGTGGTACGAAGCCACGCGCGGGTGTCCTCCCTCACCCTGAAGAACGTCCAGTTCACTGACGCTGGTCGTTACCTCTGCACTGCCAGCAACTCCATCGGCGAAGACAACCAGCAACTGTTCCTGGAAGTGCGCTGTAAGCCATACATCTTTTTCTCTCTTTTCACTTAGGTTCATAAAGACACACCTGAATCATTTCTAAATAAAAATAATTCCTTTTTTGAATCATTTCATGTGATGGTCCAGGAAGCTTTTTTTTTTTTTTTTTTTTAATCAAGTCAACATAAGCGAAACATGTCTGGAAATAAAAATCATTGCATTTGGTATCTTAAGACCTTTAAGTGTTAGTTTATTTTGTAGACCTGCAATAAAAAGAATCACAACTTAAGATGCAGATAAAGTTGTAAACAGAAAATAAAATTGTTTTCCAGACCAAACAAATGAAATGAGAACATTCCAGTTTCTGCTCACCTCATTTCATCAAGATAAATGGCTCAGGAGCGGGCTGGGTCAGTGGTACCACTGTGATTTGTTACCAATAGAAACAAAGACCCACTTTCCAACTTCTCTTTAGGGATCTGGTGCCGTTTTTAGGATTTTCTAACAGCTGTTTTTCTTTTTTTTAGAACAAGTCCTTTTTCTTTTGATGCATGTAAAATGTCACTGTGAGAGTTGTGAACGACTTGGACTGAGCACCAAACAGACAGAATTTTGGTCAGGGATGATTTTACAGGGCAGGATTGTCAGAAGATTCATCCAGAGAAGATGAAGGCTGATAGCTATCCAGCTACTGAGGGATCTTTTCTCAGACCTCCAGACATACTCTGGGGTTTGACCATCAAACCTTAAATTCAGAGACATCAGGGTACTGTAGCTTTCGTCCTCTAAGAAGAACAACAATGAACCGCATCTTTACCATTGTGAACCTACTGAAGGGATCAATGATAGTTTGGTTCTTATGATCACATGTGTTTTGTGGATCTGAGAAAGGATTATGATGCTGTTCTATACAAGAATCTCCTTTATGACAAAGGTGGGATCTCAACGGTCTTTAAGGGCATTGAGCTTAGAGTCGAGTCACAGAGGTAGTCTAGGTGGTCTCATAAGAATGCCTCCTGGACATTTTGTGAGCGTGTATTGCTGTAAGGAGACCCCAGGGTGGACTCAGAAAGACTCTGTATCCTGAAGGATTCTATATCCCTTGTGGCTTAGGAACCCTTTGGAATGAGCTGGAAAGTGAAGCTGGGAAAGACACATGTCTAAGCTTCGTCTGAGACTGCATGTTACTCATGTAACCAGATCTCAAACAACTGGAAGATAATGAATCAATTACCAGGATGTGCTGGGTTGTTAAAAATCCAGCTGGCTTAATGTGATTGGCCAAGAAAGTTCACTCTAATATTGAAATCTATTCATAAAAGGAGTGAAAAAGACAATGACTGTCTAATTGGGCTAATAATCCCAGAGTCTATTGTGCTTTAAAGTTCAGAGATGTGATCACAATGCACCATTGATGGAGCTGTTTGAGGACTTGCAGTTAGCCAGTGTAATCACCAAAACAATCAGGCAGCTGAATCAGTGTTGCTAGGCAATTATCGATAAGAAAGGTGCTTTGTTTTGAGTATAGCTCTCACTTCGTGTCCTCTGTCTCCACTCCGCACAATGAAGATGTAATTCAAGTGCTGGGCCATCTATCTGCCACACAGCACGATCCATTTTACTGGGCTGGGTTTATCGAGGTTTGCTGCTGAGAGACTGATACAGTAGCAGCCTAGGAAAAATGTTTCTCTCCAAGCCTCATTTTCTTCACCATGCAGGTTTGTTAAGAAATGTTGTCTTCCAAATTGGTTTTGTGGTAACAATTAAAATTTTTACAAACTAGTCTTTGCTAAATTAAAAATTTTTTTTTTAGCTCAAGCATTACAAGGGATGCAGCAAAAATACTGAAATGTAATAAATACGATGCTGAATGATGAACAAACTTCTGGGATTGTGAGACTGAAGATATTTCTATTTCTCCTTTATGCATTATGAGGCCACTTTGAACCAACTATGACTAACACAAATCAATAGAAAATCCATAAAACTCAGTGGAGTTTTTAGAAATAAAATCACCACAAAGACTTGAAATGCTCAAACACTGGCCGTGCACTGACCTTACCTTTAGTTCATTGTGTATGTAATATGCACACTGCAGCCATGTTTGAATTTTGAAATCAGGGTTGCTCAAGGACCTCTGACTTTACATGTTGGAACGCTAATGTCAAGCATCCAGTTTGTTGGTTTGAAGAATTGGGACTTAAACGTTAAATCACATTGAGTAATTGCCTGAAAATCCCTGAGATTGTGCACAGTATTGATTCTTAACCTGTGGCAGACATCTTTTAATATAATAAGTGCCAAGAGTGGTCATTGGTTTTCACTTGGCAACAGATGTCTGGGATATTGCTTTAATAATGGAAATTAATAAGCAGAAGCTCCTTGGATTAAACAGTTAGAGATTTTACAAATTTGTAAATCAATAACAACCAAATAACTATGCAAACAAGTCGATCATCTCCTGTTTAGGAATGAATGATTTAGAAAATAATCTCTTTGGAATATTTTTTTTCAGATGTCTCATGTGTTTTGTCTTTTCTTTCTATTCCTTTAGATTCTCCAAAGATCATGGGCATAGTGGCAGCATACACATGGGAAGGAAACCCAGCCAATATTTCTTGTGAGGTGGCAGCCAACCCCAGAGCCTCGGTGGTTTGGTTCAGAGACGGCATTGAGCTCCCGACTGCTAACTCAACCAACATAAAGATCTTCAATACTCCAACCATCAGCCTTCTGGAGGTGATGCACCTTTGTGTTTCTTGGCTATTCTGATGTACATAAGCATGAAATAATGAAAAAAAAAACTGATAAAAAAGTTTTCACCATTTTTTTTTTCTGTCTCAGATCACACCTGAGTCCCAAAATGACTTTGGCAGCTACAACTGCACAGCCTCAAATGTGATAGGCTCTGAATCCAAGGAGTTCCTTCTAATCCAAGCAGGTTGGTTCACTGAAAACACAAATAGGGGTTCTTAACATGTCAATCTATATGAACAATAAATCAGTGCAATGAAAGCAAAAACTGCAGTATTCAGCAAGGAAGAATGTTAGAATCTGCTGCAAGGAGCATCCTCAACAAGCCCAACAAGTCTGCATTAGCCAGTGAATGCACATAATAATAATAAAGAATGAGTTACATTTATTATCCATTTTCACGATTGAGAGTACGGCTGCAGAATTGAGAGTACGGCTGCAGAAAAAAAAAAACTCTGCTTTGTCTCCTTATATCTAAAAGGATACATTATGTTTGTTTCAGAAAGCTGTGAACAGAAAGTAAAGTTGCAGGGAACCTTGAGATGCTCTGCAGCTCCGTCTGAATAGCAAGACAGCGAGAAAAACACTGAAATCACAGCAGGCTCTCCCTCTAAAGTCTTTTCTTCTCCTCTGCTGTGAATTTGGTCAGTCTTAGTTTCATTCTGCATGCAAATTGCTTTGGAGCCCTTGCAAACGATAGGTCGCTCAGGATCTCTAAATGGTGTGTGGCCGAATTAATTGTGGTGACACCCTCGGTGCCATTGTGTTATATCCTGTGGGCTCTTTGAGGTAATTTCCTTGCTTCGCTGTAAAACTTCATCAGTATGACTGAAGTGGCTTCCTCCAGTGGCTGGCCCTCCCTGCTTTCTGTATGTCTCAATCACATGCACTCTGAAAAAAAAAAAGTGTTGGACAATTAAAACGTTTGCTTGAGGTTACACGTTGGAATCCCTCAGAATGCGAACATCAGCAGCAGCTCTCGACTGTTTAAATGATTCATTTAAAATTATTTCTCTGCACCATTTACAGCTGCTAAAGAGGCTAATGTAGACTGTGTTCAAACAAGATTTAAACCTTAAAGCCTCTCTAGTGCCCCCTAGAGATCACAGGACTTTTCACATTGAATATGACAGTTATTCAACAAGACACTGAAAGCAGCTGTATAAATATTAAGCTAGAAAGAAAAAGCATGAGTAGGTACAGAGTGTTTCACATTAAATTGTGTTCATCAGTTAGTAGACTTTTATTATTATTATTATTATTATTATTATTATTATTATTATTAAAGGGATACAAACAAATGGATGTTCTGCTTTAGAAGAGACCTGTAATACATCAGGAGACAGACAGTGCTTGTTGCTTTTATTTATTTATTTAATTAATTAGTTATTTATTTGGAGCAGCTTAATGCTGTGCAGAAAAGTTTCACAATTTTTGTTTCCCCTGCTGGTTACGGTCTGATTAGGCCCCCAGGACAGCACCTAGTTCACTCCTCCGACATTTCACAAGTTTGGAGCATACAGTTAAACTCAGTTCAGCTTATTTGTGCAACGCCAATCCACAACACGTGTTGTCTCAAGGCACTTTGTGAAGAAAAAAGGAATAGAAATTTAACTCCAATTAGTTCATTAAGTTCAGTTTATTACTCAACTTAGTTTAAAAAGCTTGCAGCAAGTCCTCCTGGATGTGGTGACAGAAGACAATCACTTGTGTTGTGTCACAATCCCTTACATCAAGCATGCAAACAGGAAGAAACCTCCAGCTAAGGATCTTTGTCCATTCCTTTTTCATCCTCCTGCATCCACTCTCATTTCTTTTCCTCAAGTTTTCTAAATAATTTATATCTGTGAACTGAGATTTCCATGGAAGAAGCTTGTTCTGATTTAATAACTTTTCTCTTCAGGTTATTTATCTGCTGAAGCATCCAGTGATGACCCAAATACCATTTTTTTGGCAGAAGCCATCAGAGTTTTGTGTAAAATTACTTCAAGGTCCCAGTAACTGTAAAGAAGCTTCCCAGGGTCATTGGCAGGAACTTGGTCCACAGCATACCAAACTCCTCCATCATGCTTTTCCACACATTAGTCATTGGTTTTGAGAAAAATGTCAATCTTCCAATTCCAGTTAAAATCCTAATAGCATTTAGCAAACTCCATCTGTTTACGTTTCTGATGGTAGGATAGAAAAACTCTGAAATAATAGCTTGACGTTTAGATCAGATGTATCGTTTGTAGTCCTCTGCAGTTCTCAAACACTGAGGCTTGAAGATGTTTTCATCCTGCTCCTTGTGTGTGGCGGAAAGATAATTCAGGCTTGGTTTATTAACATCAACACATATCCACCTTATCTGAATAAGCATGTTCTCTTATCTTTCCCAACTGTGTAACCACTTAGCAGTACGCCAGGCAAAGAAGTAGTCATGGTTTACTAATTAAAAGTTTTGAAACAGTATTTTAGGTTATATAATGATAACATTAAGATAAGATTAAACAAAGGTTATCAAATGAAGTCGACATTCACCTGAGCGTCTTCCCTGGAGAGAATAAAAACAAAGTTAGCTACGTCATAAGGAAGGTTAGTCTCTGCAGAGCGCTGCTTATGAGACCAAATCACCGAGTCCTTTAATCATGGCTCAAAGTGCATCACAGGCGGGATCTAAACTGTTGCTAGAAACTCGTTATGTCCTGTCTAACGGCTGCTCTGTCATTTGGTGACCGGCGTGTTTGTGGCTCCTTGGTGGCATTAAATGCAGTTCAGCTGTAGCAATAAGCACAGGGAAGGTTTAATGAGAAACATGCAGCCTTGTTATTAAAGGAGGACCTCATTTCTGATGTTTACCCAAACAGAGGTATCATTTCTACAGACTGCTGCTGACCTCAGGGTTCAAATGTTAGGAAATCTTTCTGGATTAAAGTGTTAAAACTTATTGCCGCTCCTGTACACAGTCAATTACTGACATTTAATTTACACTTTCCTAAAACTTAACTCGCAAAAAGGATTTTTATCCAATGATGAACTTTTTCAATCAGAGGTTAATTTCTCTTTGTTTTGTTGTTCCTACAGAAGTGCCGTCGTCGCCTAAAATTGAAGAAGTGCAGCCGTTCTCCAGCACGGCAGTGGTGGTGTTCGAGGAACCATACTCTTTGGGTGGAGTGCCGATATTAAAGTACAAAGTGGAATGGCGTTTGCCTGGGAAGGAGTGGAAAAGTGAGGAGTACAAAGCTAAGGATGGTGAGCTTTTTTTGAATTATTTCCCTGGAATGCATCTCCAACTGGAAATGAAACTCAGAGCAGCCTTAAGATTCATTCTGGATTCCTCTCTGAGTTTGATAAAACAGGGGCAGCATGTAGACTGCTCCATGAGATTCAGTGTTAAGGTAAACAGAGAGTTAAACCTCTCCTACATCTCCTGAAAGTTGCTTAAAAAATGTATTCTAACAAAGCACAGCAGCTGTTACAAGATGCCCCGGGTGATCAATTAACTCACGTTCAACCCTGTTTTATGATTTATCACACATTGGAACTGACATCAGAACCTTATAAATATAAAACTTCAGTTGGTTTCATCAGACCACCCAAAAATTGTTGCTTAGTTTCAGTAAATCTTTTACCAAAAGACCAAGTTAGTTGTGTATTCTTTTTCTTTAGCTTCCTCCATCTACGATAACTTTTTTTGTTGAATCAGCTACATTTAACTTTTAATTAGCCTTTGGGATCAATAAAGAATCTTGAATTGAATTTGAATTGTGATGATCTTGTGACGAAATTGTCAGCACCCAAACAGTAGTAATTATGTAGACATTTTCTGTTTACATATTTACTTATGGTCGTCTATGTTCTCTTTCTGCAGGTTACTTTTGAGTCTGCAGAAAGAACCGCTCACACAAACATTTGATTGCTTTTTTTGTATGATAAATAGCATGAACAAGCACACAAAAAACTGCAATTCAGTAAAATACCTATATTATGCATCAAGATCTACAATTTGAATGTAGTCTCTAGAACAAACATCTGTCCATGTAATAAAACAGTTGCTGTTTACATATCTACTAATGGACAACTTAACCCTTAAAGTGTTGAAGTGCTTCTGTGCAGCTGTTTGGTAACAGCAGGTAATCCAGACATGACAGTGGCTGACGTCAGGACAAGAGGTAGAGCACAGTGTAGTGTAAATGACAGGGGGTTCAGATGCTGACAGGCCCCAGATAATATCCCTGTCCCAATGATGGCTCACAGCGCACACAAATCTGGATGCTTTTCGTCTCTCCTGCCACGTGGGACGTATCAGTCAGCGGCTGACAGGCTCAGCTGTCAGCGCCAGGCTCGAGAGCCGCCCGTCATGCAAACATGTTCGAGAAGCCCGATACACGGCTGAACAGTAAATGCCACCAAAATATCTCAGCCTTTGCTACAACAGCTTCTCCACCTCAGAGAAATTGGAGCGCTTTCAAAGTGAAAAGACATTTTCCCGAGCCTTGTTACGTTCTGAAATCAGACAGAGCAAACTTGGAGCTGTTGGAGCAGCAAAATGCCAGTGAAGAAAAGAAGCAAAGTGTGGCTGATAAAGAATTATTAAGTGGTGGAGTGTCTCAGTAGAAAGGCTTTTGTGTCTGAACCGGCGCCGCTGTCACATGTTTAAAGGCAGAGTTGTCAGAAGTAGCTGGCTCGCCCACCACAGTGTAATCATACAGCGCCACCATGTTAGCATATACTAATTAAAGAAAGCTCTAAATGAACAGACGGCCTTTGCACAGAGCTGCCTTCACATTACAGTACAGCTGGATTATCTATGTTGGAGAAACTATTTGTCTTTGTAGCTGAACTTTAAAGCTGGGATTTGAACAAAATACATTTTGCTCTTCAGCTTTAATATTTGTCTAAAGTCTGAAGTGTGATGACAGAAGCTAGAATTGCAACAGTCATGGTGGCAGGCATTCTGCTAGTCTTTTTCTATACTTTTGTCATTTTTTTGGTTGAGGATGTTGCACTGTGAAGATGTGCAACATCCTCACAGCTGGAAAGATGTTTGCTCTTACTTTTTTACCTTCAGATGAGATGTTGTCGTTTTGTTTTTCTTTTTTCTTTTTTTGCAACCAGAAGCTAGTAATTAGCATCTCTACAAGTTCAAATAGCACCTCAACTTTGACCCCAAATCCCAGAGGAGTTGGAAAGAAGGCTTCATTGGTGCAGAGCAGAGAGAGAAGGAGGAAGTTCAAACTGTCATCAGACAGATATCTAAAGAGGAATCATCAAAAGCAAATGAGGTGGATCAGCAGTGCTAGCCAACAACTGCTGGTGTCATCCAGATCATGTTACTTTAAGAATATAGTCTGCCATGTACTGACCTGTTGGAATGTCATGATAGTCTTGACTGTTATACAGTCTTCAGTCAGAGGTCTCCTTACATTTGTGCAAGACTGACAGCTACTGGAGATTCTTCCAGTGACAACGTCCAAGTGTTTGAAGACACTTGGATGTTATGAGTTATGATAACGTTTTAATTCGCTTTTTGATAAATAACATATTCTCAAATTAATTTAATCTACAATGTCTCAGAGATCACTGTGTTTCTTCAGGCACCAGAGCAGAATCTTTCTTTTTAAACTGTGCTTTTCTCATATCCTCAGAATTAGACAGATTAATTAACAGTAACATGTACAGGCGTCTTCATCCCACACCATAAGGATTCTTTGTCGCAGCACAGAGGGCAGCAGGGGCTGAGTTTGTAGCAACGGTGAGGTTCTGTGGAGATAACCTTTTCCAGAAGCAGCAGGAACCAAATTACTGCAGGCGGCGGAGAAATTTCATCAAAACACGAACTGTTTCGATGCTGACATCAATTATATTCCAACGCTAAAAGCTCTGAATCCATCTGGCGGAACGGTTTCTAGTTGTATGTAAATAGTTCTCTCTGAAACTCCCTCTGATTGAGATGTTAATCTCATACATGCTGTCACAGTAATGGAGACATGTTGCACAGGTGTTTTTTTTTTTCTCTTTTTGCACAACTGAAATTAGCTCTCGGCTATGAAATTACTTTGCTTTGTGTTGCTCAGTGGGGCATCAGCCAAGTAGCTCTTTATGACACGAGAGGAAGCGCATGCATGTTGGGTGTGCAGAATCCTTACGTTATCAGATAAATTCACCTGATTAAGGGAACTTTCACTCACAGCCTCTATTGATTGCTTTCCCTTTGTTCTACACCTGATGGCTCTTGGGTTTTAATAGATCCTTAATTCAATTCATTTCCCTGCAATTAAATCTGTATTGGGAGCCCACAATGCAACCCCCAGTAATTATTTTTCAGTCTTTTGGCCTGCTTTCTTCCTGCTCTCACTTTTTACTCTTTCAGTGCGGTGAGATCTCTTCTCCTGGGAAAAAAGTTGTTAATTTTGTGCAGCTTTTCTCTGACTTAAATGTTGGAGAATGTTACATTAATAACATATGTTGCAAAACAATTTGTACCTGTTTAACGTTTACACTTTTGGTAATCTTACAAACATAAACCTTGACACATTAGGTATGTAAGTGATATGTAAAGTTGGGAGGTTGATACATGGTAGTTGCATTATCATGCTGTGGGGGATTGCTACACAGAGTTGATGTGAAGACTAATGGAACTTAATCCAGGAGGATCTTGGAAGAAAACATGTTAGAGGCTAAAAAGAGGTGAGACTAAGGTCAAGGGTCAGCTTCCATCATGAAATCATACAGTCAGAGATATTAGAGGGCAGCTCAGACGAAAGCACAATCATGTGTCAGAATGGCCTAGTTAAAGGTCAGATCTAAATTCTAGGGCTTGTTATGACAGTTGTTGTCCAGATGTTTTGCTCCCACCTGACTGAGTTCAAGTGATTTTGCAAATATCAATGTACAAAAGTGTTTAAGCTAGTAGACACGCATGGTGGTTTTAACCAGCAAAAATGTGTGGTCTGAAATAAACTCCACATTTTATTTGATCTATTAAAAAAAAAAGAAGATGTGAGAAACACACATCCATTTCAGAGTTATATTTTTTGCTATTTTGTGTTGGATGCAGAGCGACTGTTTATCCATTACTTTACCTTCACTAAAGACTTGAATTTCCGAGCCACTCTGAGTGATGAAAATGTCTAAGTAACTTCATCATCGTTACATTTCTATTTTGGGATCCAATAATGCAAATACACTGATGCACTCTGAAGAGAGTCAGTGCAGACCACAGAGGAGAAAGTCAGTTAGTCCTAGAGGAAGTTTGATGAAAAGGCTAAGCAGAAAACAAAACAATGAGTCATCTTTTGGTTTTGTTGCAGGAAATGAAGGTTTCTAAGGAAACATTTGAACATCTATTATCTTCTAGATAATAGCTGTTTGTGCCCCTAGATTCTATAACCAGGCTGAAGATAAGCAACAACTTTATATCTCAGGTCGACACAAACAAGATAAAGTAGCATAATTTAAATGGTGAAGCGTGGCTTTGGCTATTTATAAAGAATGAAAGAGAAAAACATGACGGACTTCTCTTCCTACTGCGGTGTTTTGATCCAATTAGCAATCAGCTTTTTCTCTTTAAACGTGTCATCTGGTGTAATGACCTTGGCGTCTTTTCAACAGACATGACCAGGATAACCATCGGCGGACTGAAACCGGAGACGACCTACGAGGTCAAGATGTCCGCCATCAACGGGAAAGGCGAAGGCGAGAGCAGCCGTTCCAGCACTTTCAAGACGGAGCCAGTCCGTAAGTGCCTGCCTCTCCTCACTGCTCCAAACAAGCCCTGACCCTGCAGCTTTGAACCTAATGCAGCTCACTCCACCGCATCCAGCAGAGCCCAGATGCTTCAGTCCTCTTTTCTCACGCCAAGCCCCGCCGTAGTCCTCCTCCCATCAGTCGGGGAGCACAAGTGCACCGGCCGCTTCCTAACTTAGCTGCCTCATAGAGTTACCTCTGCAGAATGTATCACGTGTGCATTTCTGTCCTCATGAATGTGTGTGCCATGCGAGATGCCTTTGCATCTTTGCCCACAGATGAGGTGATTTAGACTTTCCTTTCTAGACACTTCATACGTATTTATAAATCCGATTTACACTTCACTCCAGGGAGACGCAGCTCCGTATTTATAGATCACGGGCAGCATGAATTTTTAATATCGCAGCCACAGGTCAAGTCCTCCTGAGGAGAGTTTAGATGTTGTGATGATGATGTCAGTGCATGATGAAGAGCAGTTGTATTTCAGGAAGCTTTGAACTGTTTTTTTTTTGTTTGTTTGTTTGTTTTTTATGAAAAGGAGCAAAGTTATCTGAGAGGAAGAAAGATTATTAAGCACACAGGGGGCTCCAGACTTTTGTGTGAAGGGGCATCCAGTTGGTTCTCTGCAAGCAGGATGTATCACAAGTCCAGTGCCTCCTGCACTCCTCACCTCCTGCACAAATCTGACAGCAGCCGAGATAAAACGATTCAGAAATAATCCACCTTAATGGTTTCCTGGCGATGTTTTCTCATTCCTGAAGGTTTAGCGGGAGAAACTCGGGATTGAGTGAGCTGAAAGATTTCATTTTACAATTAGCCAACACATTTTAAGAACTAAATGCAACATGATCGACATCTTGAAAATTATGGACAATACAATAGAGGCGATAAGGAGGATAACATTTTAGACCATTAGTCTTGAGGTGTCCTAATAACCTAAACTAACTTATTTAAATATGTAAACGCGCTCCTCAAATGATCCAGTTAATGAAACGTAGTGCTGAAAAAAGTCCAGCAGGGCAGAATCTGGGCATCTGCTGTGTTTTCAACAAACAACTTTTTTAAAATAATTTTTTGCCATTCCCATTTTTTCTTTCAGATCATACCTGTGCAGCGTCTTTCACATGTACTACCACCGATAAAGATGTGTAAAACCCTTTAAATAAAACAGCATCATGCCATTCAGTGCATTGTTGCAAGAGGAAATTTTTTAACATAGTAGTTAGTTTCAGTTGTCTTTTGACATACTAGTTATTGCTCTGATTGTAAATGAGGGAAGGTTTAGGTAAATATTTTTTTTCCTGCCTGACTTGACTGGCATATTATCATATCTTTCCTGTTTTGAAGAATAGCTGTGAAAAGTGGGCCCCATGTGTCTGTTTGCTATTGAAATAATAAGTGATAGATTAAAAAAGAAAATACATTTGTTACATTTAATTCATAGAGGTAGTCGGGGTGCCATTGGTTGTCATACCGCAGTAAAAAAAAAAACATTAATGATGCAGGATTTCTTTCCTATGGTGAAGGAACAAGCTCAAACTCAATTGTAGATTTTTCTTAAGCTTCTTTTGAAAGTGTTGCTGCAAAAAAGACACATTTCTTTAAGTCTTTTACACATTTTTACCAGAGGTTGCCAAGTTACAGCAGGCAAAAAGTTGACATCAAAACTGACTAAATAATATTTGAGGCCAGGTTTCCTCCGCTAACATGTTTGTTTGAATAAACTGGTGATTTTATTAAAGTAGAACATTGTTGCTGTTTTTTTAAAGTGACTACTGTAGACGGTTCTAATTGGATGCTTTCTGACAGCAATGTCTGATAGAAAGAAAGTTTAACTTAAAGAATGTGAACTGACAAAATTCAATAGTTTAGGGCAAATTGTACAACATCCAATATCTTGCAGAGTTTTGGAAAACTGTAAACACGTAACTTTTTCAAAATTATATATAAATTATATAACATTTTGTGAATAACAGGTGTATATTCTATTGGATGCTTAACAGGAGTAATTTATTCTATTTTCTATAGGCATTTCAATATTCAGCATGAACAACTTAAAAATAAAACGCCAACAAAATGAACAGCATTTCAGTTTAAAATGTGCTCTTCTGCTTCATCACTTTTAGTTTAGTGCGGGCCTGCTTCAACTTTACACTTAACACCAGCAGTAAGGAGACTTTTATTGATCTAAATGTTTCTCTCGCCACTAAACACCCCATCCGTGCTCAAAGAAGCGAGGAGGTAAATTTGTGCACGATCCCAGAGTCATTGCTCAAACAGTGGTTGGTAGGGTCACGTTGTTCTGGCTCTTGTTTCTTAGAGCCCAGTGGCTTGTTTTTGAGTCCCTGCAGATCTGATAAAAGCAACAAAGAAAGTGAGGCAGGAGGGAGAGAGATGAAACTGACGGAGATGTTGTCATGGTAACACCAAAAAGCTGCCTTCGGCACATGAAGAGTGTTGAAATAATGTCATGGGTTTTTAAAATTTTTGCTTCATTCACTGCATTAAAGTTGATACTGGAGGACTTAGAAAGGAAACTTCACACATCATGTTGCAATGCACATACTATGCATCAAACAGGCTTTTATTGTTTAGATTTTTGATTTGCAGAGTGTGCCGAATGCACACCAAAATGTGCATGTTTGTAGGTTTCGGTGACATGATTTACTGGAGATCAGATCACTATGTGTAAATTTAGGATTTAATTATTTTTTAGTCAGTTTAAAAATAATATGTTAGCATATTGTAGCTTGGCGGGCTGTTTTTGATCCAAAAAGGAATTTCGAGTGTTTTTTATGCATAATCAAAGGCACCAGAAGCCTACGCTAACAGGCCAGTGTTTCAAACCTCGAAAAAGATTTGAAATGAGATAGCGGTGGTGGAAACAAATCTCTCTTTTTTGACACATTGAGATGGGGACACAATACTTCTTATTCCGTTAAAAGAAGAAGTTGATGGTTAATAACCTAAACTGGTGGATCACATTGAAGTTGCACTAAAAGTGAAAATGACTGGGAAAAGACTCATACCATATGAAGGCTGTGGTAGAATAAGTTGCAATCATTTGAAGCATGCCACCAGGCCCTGCAACTATCGACCAGTAGAGCATCAAGCAAACAATATCAAAGACCCCCAGAACTCAGAAGGTGAAGCAAACTTTGAGATTCATTCCAGTGTTTGTGACCATCTGATCCATGGCAGGCAGATGGGTGTACGCTCTACACAACAGCAGTGTTTGGGATGAACAGATGAATAAATCAAATATATATCAGAGTAGCTGCAGAAGGATTTCGTTTTTATGACAGATAAAGTGATGAAAAGGTGTTAGGCTCATTATTTATCTGTGAATGGAGTCAGCTGTTTGTTAGTTCACATTCAGGCTAAGCCTTTATTTTTCTCAGAGCTGGAGGATATTTTCCAAGTATTCTTTTTTGGCTGGAGTTTTTAGGTTTATATTATTTTTTTATTGAACTGAAAGGTCTTGGGTAATCATCGATTTATAACTGAATCAAAGCCTTTTGAGTGAGAGAAGGCTAGAAATTTTCTCTAGCTCAGAAAATTTCAACAAAGCTCCATCATGTTATCCATTCTGAGGGTCTTTAACTTTCTTGTCATTCAGATCTTCACGTCAGCGTCATGAATGGATGTTTGTTTTTCTGTCTTGCGCCCTTTGTCTCCTGCTTCCATCTGCACCTCATCTCCTTGCTGCTCCTGTCGAAGAGTCCCCTTCAACATTTTCCTTCTTTTGCCTGATTCATCTTTGTTATGAAGATGTTTAATCTGGTGTTCGAGCCACAAATTGGCTCTTCTAATTTTCCACTAGTCTGTAGACATAAAATCAAGTTCATTGAGATTTAAATTGCATTTGCAAAGCTGTGAAAAAGTGTTTGTCCCTTGCAGATTTCTACAAATGTTGCTGTTTTGCCACATTAACATCATCGGATTAATTTTAATAAAATATTTTTTTTTTCAGTTTTCAGAATGATTATTTAATTTACTAAGAAACAGAAGCTATCCAAAGCAAACTAGCCTTATGTGTAAATCATATTGGCCCCCATGTTAAATCATGAATTAACTGTGAATAACTACATTTTTGGTCCACTTTTACTGACATCATCCAAGTCTAATTACTGTTTGACCTAAAGAATCAGGAAATCACTTCAATAGATCCTGTTTGACAACATGAAGTGGTCTAAAAGATGTCAATATGCAACAGTTCATGTTCTGATCGAAGCAAAGAACAGATTGACTATGGAAAAATGTCACAAGCCTGTTTCTAAAACCTTCCACAAGTGGAGAAAAAGATTTTTAGTTACTCTTGAATAAAAATATTCATAGATGGAGGGCTGGAAGTCATTACATTTCACTTGTGTGTTATGACAGCATCTTTTAAAAAAGTGAAAAAGAAGAGAAAGAAAATGCATAATTCTCAGTGAGGCGGTGTAGGAGAATGGCACAGGGTTAATGATGCAGCAGGACACAGCTGCCCTTTTTCATTGATCATATTTCTCATTTTATTGTTTCTGTTCTCTTTGTGTTATTGTTTTCTCATGTTTTTCCCCTCCATCTATTCTGTATTCCACTGGACTTCTCAGAATATTCTCTCACAAGTAAGTTCTTCTTCTCCCTTTCTTATCTGCTTATTATCTGCAGTTTGCATCATATCCATTGAACATTTTTCATTATTAACAATGTTAACCACGAAATGACGTCTTTACTGATTCACATTCATTCATCACATGCCCATTTCCTTAATGTAAAGTTGATTGAAGATGTTTTCACATAGGTGCGATGACAGTAGCGATTTGTCCTGTTTCGTCTTTTGTGTGAAATGCAGCAGTGGCTCAAGTCACTCTCAGACATGGAGAAAAGACATAAACACTAGAGGAGGCCTGGGTCATGTAATAATCAATTTCCATCCTGATCATTTTTTGCAATATTAAATAAATTCAGACTGTATTCCAGAAAGTTTGTAACTTGGTCTGTAAAAGAAGCATTCATACACCTTGAATCTCTCCACATTTTGTCATGTTACAACTACAAGGTTCAATGAAAACATTAGAGAGCAAACATAATCACGAGGACCAGGGAATCCAGCAGATAGGCTGTTTAAAAAATTTAAAACAAGAGCTGGATTTTAAATTTAAAACAGATTTGGGTTTTAAAATAACATCTGAGTTCTTTTCCCGTAAAGCTCTGTTCAGTGTGTCATCCGAACATGGAGACAGGACGAACCTTTGGTTCTGCAAAGTACCAACTCATGGTGCTGAATACAAAGTTAAGCCACAGTCTTCAGACTTTTCTATGAAATCCTTTGAAATCATGTGCTGTTTGTCTTATATCTCAGAATTATAAAGCAGTGTGTGCTAATCTATCACATAAAGTCCCATAAATTACTTTGAAATTCCAGGTCTTGATGTGATAAAATGCAAAAGGGTTCAAAGGGTACAAATATAGTTGGAAGGCAGGTAAAGCAGCTCTGCTTATTCTAAAAGCTTGACTTAATTTGCACCTTAATTAGTCAGATACAAGGCAGGATGGAGGCAGCATCCAGGGAATAAACTCAGTTCTGATGGAGATGGTGTTTACTTCAAAAATGTTTATTCCTACACTGTGAGGAACCCGGAATCCCGCAGGACCATAAAAAGTTGGACTCGCTTTTGGGAAAACAAATATCCATTGAACTTTGTTCAAAATGCAATGACTAAAACATGCACTCTGACATTTTCATCAACAAAACCATTGTTTGTTTTTCTGTTTTGCTCAACAACAAAAAAAGCATAATCAGATTTTAATGGAAAAGTAATTTTGATCCAAGAGTCAAAACTGATTTAAAATATGCTAAAGTGCAATTGATTTTTTTCACTAATTATCCTTCATCACCTCAACTGAGCTTACCGACATATTGTCTTTTTTATTTTGAAATGATTTGAACCATGAATAATAAAACTGGGTGTAGATTTATTTCCCTGTTGAACTCATCAGCTCTGACAGGTTATTTATTGTCATTAATGCCAATTACATCAGCATAGGCCATACATTATAGTTAGTTCACATTTGCTTTGTTACTGAAAAGTCTACGTTTTCAAATAGATTTGAAATTCAGTTATTACAGCAGGTGTAATAAATCTCCACACCTGAAGGTTTAGCACATTGAACAGGACTTGAATACATTGTTGGTGCTCAGCTCTTGTCCAATCAGATGCCGGGTCACATTAACGGCAGCAGCTGCTGCATGGGAGCATTCCTGCTGTTTGTGATCATCACTAAGCACTGAGCACTCCTGCTTCTCTCATGCTGTTCTCACCATTTTTCAGTTGCATCATCGATCCCACCTGCTATCGCTGCCACCACTATGGCCATTAGTGAGTATACGCGAGTCCAGCAGTGTGCCTGTCACATCTCTCTGTCCTGCCTGCCTGGCTACACACTTAGCGTAGATGTTCATTAATACTTGATGTGGCTCACAGGAGAGATTGTGTTCTACATGATGAGCATAACCAGTACCAGTTCACTAGCTTATATTGGCAGCTTAACTGCTTTTCTAACTCTGTTGAGTCGTCCTTAATCGCACTAACACTTAACAGCTTAGAAGGGACAAACTTACTGGTTCTGCAGGGTTCCTGCACATTCGAAGTTGCATATTTTTCTCAAAAGATCTCTGAACTTTTTAACTGATTTTTAAACGCTAAAGTTCATCTTGAATATATGACAAAATTTTCTAGATGGTTGGATGGATAAAAATATGGAGCGACAGATGGAAAGATGGAGCAGCTGGTGAGATGGTGGATGGAGCGACAGTTCAAAAGATGGACAGACATGGATGAAAGAACAGATGTTTGAGCGGTGGGGTCGATGGACGGACAGATGGAAGGGTGGACAGACAGATGAATAGTTGAATGACCAGCCACAAAAAATGTGGTTGGTCAGATGGAAATTATCGGAATTCAAAAAAACTTTGAGATAACAAATATTTTTTGCTTACTAATTTTTTTCAAACTAATCCTAATTTCTGTATGTTCTTAAATTCCCTTCCTTTCCAGACTGCATAGGAACCCAGTTTGTGGTTATATATGTTTATATATTTAGTTTCCCCGAAGGTCAAAATTGTGAAGTCTGTTTCATTATGATAGAGGACGTTTACGTTTCCTGTGGTGTTGCTCTTACAGAGTGAATCAGTGATTGCAGAACTAACGTATTTTTAGTAGAGGTAGCGATGAAATACTAGCATGTTGCTGTAAAAGTTGTGGGTTTAAATCCTAAACTTTGTCAAGCAGCATGTTTATGCTTTTGTGTCAGCATAAATAGTGAGTCATACTTATAGTGAGTCAAACCTTCTGTCCTAAGGCTGTAACTCTTATTGATGTTGATCCACAACCAATGTTGGTGTCTTAGTGTAAGATTGTTCTGTTGACTAAACTAAACTATAATTTTTACTCCAATTTTAATGTTTAGGATTAAAAAAGTTATATTTCTTCAAAAGAACAATGTAATCCCATCATTCCACAAACTCCATGAGTTAGGATTCTTTTCAGCATATAGTCTTTGTCTTTATGTTTATCCTCCAAACCCTGAACATACATAAACATCTTTATTATGATCATATTAGTTCAGCTTCCAAATGTCTTTCAAAAAGTTGTCTTGTCATCACTTCCTGTAGTCACTACATTCCAGATTAAGTCCTTATTACGTAGGAAATCAGGCCAAGAAGAAACCGAGGTTTGTTTTGCTGACGTTATGCAGAACTTTGACTTCCCCCTGTAGAGATGGGTTCTTTCTCTTCATAACGGGCCTCAGCTACTTTTCACCCTGGTACGAATTAGCATCTATTCATAATCGAGTCGTGTCTATCAAGAATTTCTCCTAAAACATCAGCTCATAAAACAGTTTCCTGGGAATTAATTGTAGGTTTGTAACATTGACTTTGTGTTTTACTCTTCATTGCTTTGGGTGCAGGGGTTTTGTACCTTCAGCTCCTACTAGCAGGTATCTGGAGTGTGTGGCATGTTGGGGTAAGTCAGGCCACAGAAGAATGGTTTTACTGAAAGGTGCCTTTTCTTTTCTGTTGATTTATTTTTCTGCCTTCTCTCTGCACACAAACTTATTCCTCACTCAAGTTTTGTGATGAGGAGATCTTAAAGAAGGACAGCTGGAAGAAGGTTTGGGAGTGTCTGCGATCATTATGGAGAATTTATTATGAGACATACAAATCAATGTAAACGATTTGTATGTTATGTAGCAAACATAACATACATTATGTAGCAAACAGCAGGTCATATGTCAGAAAAAGGGAATTGTTGTTTTCTTTCTCATAGAAAGTATTCCTGGCTCAGTGGGTCTGTGTTCAGCTGTCTCTGCCCTGGTACTGATGGAGGGGTTGTCACCATTAACTTTATTTTAACCTCTCTTTTTTCCCAATAGAAAGCACTACTGGTCCAGTTCTTCTGTGTTCTTCTTCCTTAACAAACCTGTTTTTCTTTTCTACAGACTGCTGTGATGATCCAGCTCTTTTCTGTTTAGCTCTAAAGACACTGACTAAGCCAGTGGTTCCCAAAGTGTGGGGCATTGCGCCCCCCATAGGGGGAGGCACGGGAAGCAATATGGGTGAATGAAGTGAAAAAAAAATTGTTACATCAAAGTGTTTCACTGTAAAGTGTGTTTTGTTGCAACCTGAAGTATGAAATAAACTTCAGTGGAGTTTGAAAACAAAATATGTGTATAGGTTTATGTCTGGTTGAACGATGTGCGTCCCCAGTTGAATTTCTTTTCTTTTTGGGGGGGATTTTATTGTTATCCATAGGGAGGCCCAGAAAATCTTTGGGAACCACTGGACTAAGCCATTGTGGCCCTTGAGGTTGTGTTCTGTCTTTTGTTCTTTCAGAAGATTTCCCCTGACTCAATACGTTATTTGGTTCAGTTGTAAAACTTCCTGGACAAAGACAGTGATAGTCTTGCTGCCATCAACCTTTTGCATTTTCTTCTGGGGTTTTTAGTCATAGAAAGTGCTCCTGTCTCAGGTGTCTTTCATGAACAAAATTATTAATAATTATTGCTTCCATGACCTTGTGTTTGTGTTTCATGTGTTTCTTTCCCAGAGAAGGAACAACAGGCACAGTCATTATGTGTTTATTTTTAATTTATGTTTCACACTGAGCCTGGTTTTGTTGGAAGCTCACCTTTGTTAAAAAAGAGACATTTCTGCCCACTGGTACCACATGCATGCTCCAGACTGCTGCAAAGTCAATGTCTGAATGCGAGCAGCTGAGCTGTATTTTAGAAGTTGCTGTTTTGGGGGGGGATAAAAAAAAAACAGTTAATAATATGAATGATTTATTTATTTATTTTTTTAATACTAAAATATTGTGAATGTGTATTTTTGGTTAAATATAAGATAGTTAGTCTGACACCGGTCTGTGTTGTTGCAGAAACTGGGGGGGAAGCTTTAACTTGTTGCTCTGAACAAGAAGTTGCACAGGAATCACTGACACCGTGCTTTTTAAATTCATTTTTAAAAAAATAGTTCACTTTTAACTGACTAACGTTACCATGTGCATTGCCTTTGTTAATGCAATAAACTCCAGGAATCACCTAAATGAACCATGTGCTCTCTGTAGTTTAACCAGACTGGTCATGTCTCAGACGCAGATTTAACAATAGGCTGCTTGTGTTCACAGTTCGTGCATCATCATTCAGTTGTTCCTGCATCACTGTGACAAAGGTAACAAATCCTCAGGTCTGGTGTCTGTCAGGTCTTAGATGTGTCAGCCCCTCCTCAGTACTCCATTCGGTCCTGCAGAGGCCCAGTATTGGATCTGGGCCATGCAGAACCGGATGAGCTGAAGCAGTGAAACGTCTAAGACCTGCAGGACACCGGCTACTCAGGTCTGATGGTGTGTCAAGTTTTCATGTGTTCATACTTAATGTGTTGTTTCACACTTGGTTCGCATGATTGGTTCATGGAAAACTGCAGACGTTTCTCTTTTATTCATGCCCACATCCGATCCAAACCCAGCTTTGCTTTCTTTTTAAATTAATTTGCTGTAAATTGAAGGCAACATTGATTTTATTAGCTTTTTTTAAGTTGCCTTGTTCCTCTTCTCTCCAGTAACCTTTTTAAAAAGATTCAGTTGAGGGATTGATCTGCTCCTCTTGTTTTGATTTGCTATTTTGTCTCTAACATTTTCATTTGTTTTGTTTTTTTGTTGACACGTTTTCATCATTTCAAAAATGTTTTGTATGTTTTCCATGTGGCTCCCCGCCCTGCCCCTCTCCCCGCTCTGGCCCTCCCGTATTTTCTTTGACCAATCATGTCCGTGCCCATCATGTGGCTGCGCCATGCGACTCTTGCATGGTGCTGACGATGTGGTCTTCGGTGATCAACAGAAGGTAATTTTCCTTTCAAATTAGATTGAAACACTTTAGATCATTCTGTCATTCTTCATTCAACTTTAGCATAGAAGCATGAAATCATCACATGACAGATATTTTATATCATTCATTGTCATGGTTGTAAAATTAGCCCCAACTAACTGGATTTAACCTGTAATGGGCTTAGATTTTAGTATTTTTTTAAATAGTTTCATGTAATATTTGAATTTTTAGAGGAACTGAATTTAGGAGACTGCCATAGCTGAGAGCCATTTTGATACAAATGAACAGAAATAAATGTCTGAATTATTTTATTTTGTCTGTAACAGATATCTAAGATTCGAGTTTTACTTCTAAATTTCAGTTTATTGAGATGCACCTGCGTGGAATCTGACTCAATTTTCTGGAGGATTCCTGATCTGAACAGATTTAAATCATTTCTAAATGTGGGACTCACTTCACGTTAAGAGTAAAGTGGAAACTGGTTACAGTGTCTGGAAAATAATAATAATAAATGAATGAAGTACTAAACCTGTTTTAGCCAGCTGTCCAACGGTGTGCAGCAACAGGTAGAGGAGGGGCAATGCTATATTACTTTCTATCAGCTCTGGTCATCTTGACACTTTCTCACAGGATCCCTTTGAACCTGTTTGCAGTTTTTAAAACCGTATGTTTTCAAAACCCAATACCGGAAACAGACTCTTTGTCTTTCGTTTAGTTTTTCTATATTTTCATATTCCTGGGTGCAATAAATGCATTAATGAGAAATATTTTTTTCATATTTGCATTTATCTTATGTATCCTCACAAGGTGCCACTTGGAGCCATCTGCAGCATTCTGACTGCAAAACACGATCCTCCACAGGATCATTTTCCATGCTTTTTATTTTCAACGAGTTTAGACTCTCATACGGCACTGATTGGAGGCACTGCAACTCGTGTGCATCTCCGCAGCGTCCCCTGCAAATTAAATTTCTTCTCTTTCCTCCTCCCTGCACCTCCTTCCTGTTTGCATGTGTCTGCGTCCTTAGTGTCATGTCTTCTTCGTGGAAACACAAATTTAACTTCATTTTGATTTTTGCTCAGTTACGTTCAGCAACAGACAGAGGAGTGAACACAAAACCTAGATCTACTTCTGTATGTTTCTAACTTCTGTTGTCTCTGATTGTTTGCTGGGATGTGAGGAAAGGTGCCACCGTCTGCATGTGGACTCCCACCACCTACAGGCATGTCTCATTTGGAAATGATGGGTGGTGGGCGCGCCACATGCTCCACCCTCTTTGTGTGGCACCTACTGTACATTTGCCAGCCCTCATTGTGAGTCTTTCATCCTAACCACTTCACTTTCTCTCTCTGAGTGTTATAGCTTCAGAAAGTTTGTTCCTAATCCAGACTGATGCTTGTGGATAACTACTCTGAATGCTTCACTGCTCCTACTGCTGCTTTCACTAACACTTTCTAATTTATTTCCAGCCTCAGTCATGCTCTCACCAGCCTGCTGGGTTGTAGTCTGCAGCACTCTAACCTACAGAATAAAGTGTCATCATGCGTATTCATCTCAATAAGTTCAACTGCTAGCGCTGATCTGTAGAATATTAAAAATCTGTGCAAGAGACACTTTTTTAGGGCAATTTAAAATAAATGCATGAATTATATTTTCTCCTCTCCTCCGCTTTCCGGAAAATTAAAGTTCAAGCTGTGTGCGATCTGTTTTCGAAATTTACATAACCAATCAGCTTACAGCTAATGAGTTTTTGTTTTTTTAGTCGCAATCTCCACAACCATCACAAAACTGCATGAGAAGAAGCAAACATTCAAGACAAAACGCACCAAGAACCGCGCTGACCTTCTCTCCCATAAGCCTATGTAAATGTTATTAAAAGTAATAGGATAACATGTCCAATCAAGGCCTACAGGCTCATTATCCTGCGACCGAGCAGAAATTACTCAGGAGGACGGAGCTGATAATGAGGAGCCTGGAGGAGAGCAGCACCTCCGTCAGAGAGCAGCCTTTCTAAACCCTCATGCTGTCCTTCAGCTGATAATCCACACGCAGTCAATTCTAACGCTTATATCATTTCTCACCCTGGCCTTAAAATGTTGGTTTATTTCTGACTCAACAAGTGCTTCAAATTAGCTGCCATGGTTTCTTTTTTTTATTATTATTAATTATTTATTTTTATTTTTTAAAATGTCACATGGAAAAGGCAAGCTCATTTGTTGAACAGAAATGATATCTCTTCATGTATAAGTGCAGAGGTAAGAGTGGTTCAGGTTTTGGAAATGAAACCACTCCAACAAGGTTACTAGGATACACTGATTTTTTGTGTGTGTGTGTGTGGGGGGGGGGGGGGGGTTGACTCCAATTTTAATGTGACTTTTTGAAATCTCACTTTTAAAAAAACTGATTAGAATTAACCATCTAATGACAAGAAACAAACCAGCTTAGCTGAGATTTAGATTTTAAAATTCTATTTTGACTAAATACTATCTAATGACCCTGAGCAATTATTGGCACCCAGGTAAAAATGTTTGTGATGTGTAAATCTAAATATTCAGTCCATCCAGTTTTTTTTTTTTTTTTGTTCAATTGTACTATCATAGAAAATCATTCAAAATCAACAAGTGCTTTGTTTTTCTCCCTAATGCGCCATTTTGAGTTTATTGCAAATATTCAGCTGAGATGGTCAAAAGAACAAATGACTGCTAACTCCCACCTGCAGGTGGCAGCATTTCTTATCTTCTATATGTAGATTCTGGAAAAGGCTTACTGAGTAAAAATAATGCAAAAGTAATTGCAAATGTTTCTACAATAGCACTATAAAATCCATAATTTTGATTGCAAAAATATCATAAAAAACAGAAACTGTGGAAATGACTGAATAGTTCTCTTACTCATCCATTCCCTTAGACTGAATTTATTTTCAATGCAGAATTGAATTTACCTCAGTTGTAACTAAACAAGTCTGAAGTATGTGGATTATCTTATGGAGCCACTATTCCTGAACCAGGGTTTTTCAGTTGAAATGAATGCTCCTAATTCACACTTCAATCTCTAAATAGCAGCAACATGCTTCCAATATGATACTTTGTATGTATGGAATGTCTGGCAACTCGGCTGCTTTTAAACTGGAAGACGTGACAAGCCCGTCGTCTACAACAGAGTTAGTTTTCTTGTAGCCATTTTCCTGAATTATGAAGAGAAAAACACATCTTTATATCAAATTCATGTTCTTTAGCATTTCCTATTTTGAAGAGTGACTAACTTAGCTTCTCATTTCAATCATTTTTCTCTCATCAAAGCATCAAAAGTTATGGATTACTAATCCATTTCCTGACATTCTGATTTACCTAAAATCATAAATTAACAATTCATCCAGTGACATTTATTTTATGGGAATTACCTTAAAATATCTATAGTTTCCTAACTTGGGATTAATATTCAGCTATTAATACCTACAGTCAAGCTAAATGTTGAATTTATCTTAAAAAAATAAACATCTAATGTTAGTTTCAACAAATGCTTATTTGTTTCGAGGCCATAACATAAAAATATGTTTGGTCCTACTGTTACAGTATTATAGAGGATAAACATAGAACAGCTTGGATGACAATATAATTAACATTACATTTTACAGTCATCTGATTCTAACAGCTTGTATTTTAAGAAGCGGTTCCATTTAAATGAAGTCAGTTCCAAAATTTAGTTCAGCGTTTACCCTAGAAGAAAACTGTGGATTATTTTCGGTTGGGTTCAGTGAAGTAGTGATTAGTAGTAAGTGAAACACTTGATGCATCCAACACACCTGAATAGGATGGAGGTGATACAGCATCCTCACACCTTAAGGTGGTAAACATTTAGAGAATTGCTCTGACCTTAGACATGATAAACTTCAGCTAGTAGCTATTTTTATTTTACCCATTTTAAGCCAGGGAGCTTAGAAATTGAATGCCATGTTTTATTGTCTTTCCTTCATCGAAGAGTTGTCTATCACAACAAACTTACAAAAAAAGAAATGAGCAACTTAAGAAGAGTAAAGTATACATTTTAATAAATTTGCTTCATTTTCATTTTTATCAGACTATTTATTTGTTTATTGATAATTGTGGACATTTTTTCTCAGTGAATTAATCAATTCAACTTACTATGCAAGGAAATCACTGACTACTCTGAACTCCTTCACAGAACCCCTTTCAAATGAAATCCAGATATTTTCCTTAGTTTGTGCAAGTTAACTTAAAATGTGTAGCGTCTAAAACACAAACCGGGCAAAACATATTGATGTAACTAATAATAATGTTCTGATTTTGTGCAGGGGAACCAACTTCTCCCATACTAGAAGTCACACCTATAAAGAGCAGTAATTCTGCTAAAGTCAAGTGGACCAAGCAGGACGACGGAGGCTCACCCATTAAGCACTACCTGATCAGATACAAGGCTGTGAGTACACCGGGCAAGGAGGTAACAGGGTGCCACTTTGCATTTTCTCCATTTCTTCACCGATTAGCATGAGAAAAAAACAAAATCCTGGAGACATCCTGCTGCCAAATGGAAGCAGGAGATACCAGCTGGGTTCTATCATGAGGAGAAGCGCCAATAGCAACACAAACACATTTAGCCTCACTTTAATCCAAGCTATTGTTTTAAGGCTACAATTTGTATCGTCTTGAAACAAACACATGCTCCCAGACTGGGTTCTGCCAATTTTAAATGAGCATTTTTCACTGGGGAGAAAGAAAAATTACCAGTAACACTAAATCCCCGGTTGGCTTCCAACCAGTGGTTGTTTACAACTGAGTTCTGTTAAATGGTAATTTAAAAAAAAAAAATAATTTTCATACAGATAAACAGTAGATTTGCCTTCTGAAAGGATTTTTCTTGGAGAGGAGCCGGGCTAATGTTTGGGCCACCTCAGCGGATGTTAGCTGCTGGTTGTGATTCAGAGTTTGTAAAACTGAAATATATGAAAGATTTTATTTAACCTGGAAGCCCCAGGTGAGTCGATGCAGATCTCTGATTCCTGGTCAAATTATAAATCCAGGTGAAGCAAGACATCAACAAAAACTGCATTATCTAACACTAAACCAGATCAAATCAGACGAAACATTGTATGTTTTAGGCCACTTGAGGAAATCAAGCTGATTTTTATTTGTTAAATGCAAGAATAATAAAAATTATTAATATTTTAGAATATATTTTCTTCAAATCTAGAAATATTCACATTTTCTAAATCTGAAAAAGTGTGCTTAATGTAGTGTATGCATAAATCTGGTTTCGACATTTTGTTTTGACCGGTGGCAGGTATGCATTCATTTTGAAATAACCGCCTCCCTATGCTACACTGTGCTGACGCCTGTCCTGTCTGCACCCCGCCCCCCACCAGAAGCACATGTCTGACTGGAAACCGGAAATGCGCCTCCCCTCTGCCAGCGATTACGTAATGCTGAATGGCCTGGACTGGAACACGGATTACGAGATCCTCGTGGTGGCGGAGAATCAGCGGGGCCGATCCGAGCCGTCCATCACTTCCTTCAGAACAGCTTCAGAGCCCACCACCGTCCCAGGTACCACTTCCATCATTCCGCCTCAGACATCCACACACATCATCTCGAGCTCCCACCGTGACCAGACAGCCTCATGATCTGACATGAATAATCTGGGATCGTCAACGCAGTTGACTGGGATTTTATTTGGTAGACCAAAACAAAGTAGTTCATAAATGTGACATTTAAGAAGAATGAGGTAAAAATTTGAAGATTCAACCCCTTTTACTTTGATACCAGCTGTTCGTCCTCCCTTCATGGCCTTTATGCAAGAGTGGTGAGAAGATGCTGTTTTGGATAATGCATGCTTAATGGACAATCATAATGTCCTTCATGGGACAGTGGTGGAGTCAGTCAGAGGTTTCTTCAGATCTGCTGTAACACAGACCTCTGCCACACAGCTGTCAGTGTCTGCAATGACTCCTTAAAGAAACTTGGATAGTTTAAGTTACAACGCCTTTTTGTTTCATAAAGTTCTTTTGAATTTAAACAAACATACGATGAGAGCCGCAATGGAATTGTTGAGATTAAAGCATAATCAGGATTTAAAATGGCCAGAGTCAAATCTGGATTGAACTTTAAACATTTTAGACTTAGACTTGTACTTTATTGATCCCTTGGGAAGACTCCCTCAGGAAATTATTTTGCACAGAAGAATAGACAAAAATATTTATTCCTAGATGTGGAGTGCTGTTGGAGAGAAGCCTGACCAGGCTGAAGCACTTCTACAAAGTACAGACTAAGGAATATAAATTTACTCCACTTCATATTTATGGACTACTGTATGCTAGACTTTCACAAAAAATCCCATTCAACTGCCTTGCAGTCTGCGGTTGTACTGTAAAGGCTTGAATAAGTTAAGAGGCTGAATTTTTCTACAACCTAATGTCGATAAAATGGAGCAGATGTTTTAAAAACTGCAGTGTGTTTTACATGGCAGACCTGGTCACGGTCAAGCCTCTGCTCTGTTGTGTTTAAACCTTGTGACCTTGGACTGCCTCCCCGTCACACTAAACCTGAGCAGTGGAACACATTAATCACTCTCTATCATTTTCTATTTATCTATTTTCTCTATTTTCATTCTCTATGTTTTCATGTCTTCCTTCTTCATTTTTGTCGCATAATGCAATACTTATCACACCAAATATTCTGTTGTGGTTTTCATGGGGTGTTAATACTTTTGCAAGACTGTTGTGCATGAATGGATTCAGGCAATTCCTGTAGCACCCAACAGCCAATCAGAAGAGTGAGCAGACTCACGGGACAAACCGTGCTAAACATCGACATGATGTTTCATAGAGAGTAAGAAAAATACAGCAGATGTCCTGTTTCACTGATGACCTCCCTGACTTGGCCTCATTACTCTCCATGTGTAAAGGCATCCTCTCTGTTTCACGTCCTCTCATGCTGCCTCTGTCTTTGCTTTCGCTGCTCGGTTTAGTGGCTCCCGCAGCTTTCAAGATGCGTTGCTGACCTGAATGCATGCTGTGTGGCCTAGTTAGGTGGGGATGCAGCCTTTACAGCCTTTTTTTTTTTTTTTTGCATGGTGCCTCCTCCAGTTTAAATTAACGTTTGCCATTTATAACTAAAATACCCAAAAGGGATTTTTTCTGGCTGTGCATGGCACATGAAGAAACACATTATTTTTCTTGTTTTATTATCTGCCATGTAGCAGTGGGAGGTTTGGATCTCTTCTAGTTCTACTGTAGCAGAAGTTAGCCTGGGTTTCATCCAAGTCGCTCCCCTCTTTGATTCCTCTAATTACTTCCATTTAACTTTTGTTTTGTATCAGTTCATTCTTGTTCTTTTGAAGTGTTTTGTTTTTTTTCCCCCAACTTTTTTTCTTTCACTACAAGCTGCTCTGAACCAGTTTTAGCTGAAGAAAAACAAAGGTTTATATTTTTAGATGCAACATCTGCATTTCATTGAGCATGTCCCCGCAGCTGCTCCTGGTTAAACTCACTCAGAAGCTGCTGCTTCGAAAACAAACAATGAATTTCAGCTTCCAATCCAAATAAAGTGTTGATATGCAGTTGAGAGATATTTTGTTGACAGTTTTTTTTTCCTGTTTTAAACTTGAGCTCCTGATCTGGGAACTCAAAAAATATGGAACAGGAACAGCATTCATTTGAAGCAATTTTGAATCTGGAACAAATCTCAGCATTACCTTCAATGCCTCTCTCTTCTGTAAAGAGATTACATGTTAAGTTAAATGCAAAAGTCATTGCATAGCTGACTTACATAGCTGACTTAATTTTGTGCAACATATCAAGACAGTTTACCATCAGTCAGTTGCTGACTCCCTACAGAAGGAGAGCAAGTCACAAAAAGTTTTTCCTAAAGAGACTGGCTCTACAGAGATTGCTGTATTCATGCAAAACCAATAGAAAGTTAAGCGGAAGGAAAAACCTGTGGTTAAAAAAAAAGATCCAAACGATAACCACAGCCTTACTGCAAAATATGTTCGTATGTCTGACCAAGTGCTCTGCACAAAGCACTTGGTCGAGGATCCTTTTGCATGAATTACTGCATCAATGCAGCATGGTACGGAGGAGACCTGTGGTTGTGCTGAGATGGAATGGAAGCAACGTTTGTTATGACTGTGCCCTTCACTCTGCTTTCTCTCATTGTTTATTTGATACCATAGTAATACAATTAGGATTCGAAGCTCTGAAATTTTCTTGTTATTTCCCACTTGGTAGAAGTTGGATTTGTTGGAATGCAGTATTTGAATTATGGTGCCCCCTACCCCCTGCTTTTTTCCTTTCACTTAACTTTCCATGAAAATGCAGAACAGGAACATGTGAAAATAATTTTGATTATTTTTAACTGAATTACTAAAACAAGCTAACTTTTAAAACATATTCTACTTTAATAAGATGCACATGTGACATGCTTCTCACTTACTTGGACATAACTGTAGCAAGTACTGACAATCGTCCAAATCTCCCCAGCGAAGGTTAAAGCTATAATAAAACTGCTGCTGAAGATCTAAACCATGCAGTCAGTCACCATCTATCCATGACTCAAACCTCATACCAAGCTTCTGTACTGGATGTGTGGTTTTTGCATGTCCTCTCCATTGGTGTGATGGTGGCAGAAGAAATGGTTTTGCTGCGGTTAGCTCTCTACTTTTTATCTTTTCTTCATGCATGCTTCTGCCCATAATGCTTCCTGATGACAGGCCTGATGTAAATTACATTTTTGTTAATTAAATTTTTGAGAAGTGTGCAAACAAGATTTCTTTGAACTTATCTCTGCTTGTTTAGTTACTCATAATAAACTCTGTTGTCAGGGCTACATTGTTTTCTCATTCAATAGATTTTCATTTCTGCTGTAATTAAAGGAGACATGACAGAATCAGAATACAGTCTAAAAAATGTATCTTACCAGTCTGTATTTCTGAAATGTTAAGAAGTGTGAATCCTGAACATCAGATGATTTAGGTTCATCCAGACTTTTCAGTCGCTTTTAGAATGTTTGTCAGATTTGGACTCAAGCCCAAAGAGAAAGTGGTTTAAATAAAAACATTCATAGCGCTATCTCAATGAACAAACAAAGCTTCCTTTTAATGGTAACAAGTTATTTTTTTTTATTGTTTCAACTTCAAAAAGAGTCACCTATGACTTGAAATTCTATAATTTGCTTGCTGGTCATAAGCAATGGTTTTTATAGTTACTCTGGACAGAACAAGGTGAGGACTATTTTGATATGATACTCTGAGTAAAGCAATAATTTTATTAGTACTCAAGCAAAAAAAAAAAAAAAAAAAAAAAACATAATTTTCTATATTCAAAACTGAAAATCTAAAATTATTCCTCCTGTTTCAGGAGACATCATCAATCTTATGTGAATGTTTGATGTTATACCATTTCTTGGTGTAATGTTTAGTTTAATCCACAGACATAATAAACACTTACACCAGCTCCTGCTAAATTATCCAGTTTTCAAGTGTGCATTGAATATAATATGGAATAAAACAGACATGACAGATATCCATGCATTTGCCTGAAGAGTTTTATTTTGTCGTTGCAAGTTAAAGAAACATAAAATCAGAATTCTTGAAACAGAAACTTATTTCAAGAACTTGTCAAATTTTTTTCAAACTTTTATATTGAGATCATGACAAAACATTTATTTTCAGTTGAATACTTCATCTGAATGACAACTAAAAGATGTCTTTATTGAAAATGAATTAGAAGCTCTCCTTTAGACATGATTCTACTGATTGCTTAGTGTATTGTGTCTACAGGATGTAACCATATACCTATTGCTTAATCACCTATCAGCTTAACACCACTGATTGTTACTTATGAGGAGGTAATGGCTAAACTCACATTAGTTCAGTAGATTGGTTTTCCACATCCAGGTTTTCATTTAACTTCAGTTAAATTTGTTAAGTTCTCAAGAACTTAACTCCAAATTATTTGCAACAAATCCACCTATTTTCATACAACACGTTTAAAATGATTTTTTAAAAAAAATGCAACTCTGGAAGCTAAAATACTTAGCAACACTACATTTGCAGGACAAGCAGTTCAGGAACGGCCTTCATTTTTCTTGCCGTAACCCCAAAGGCGGAAATTAAGAAGACGTAAGCAAGTTTTCTATGTGCGTATTAAGGAATTTGTGATGCTTGAAATGTTTAACGAGGCAGGAAGTCGGAGATTTTTATGGGCGGTTGTGAGCTCTACCCTCAGCCAATACTTTAAGGTCCACTTTACATGCTAACATAGATAAAAATTGTTGCCTGAAATTCCTTCCTTGTCGTCATCCCGTCACTTTCCATTCATTCCTGCCATAAAACATCACTCATTGGCTGTGCTACTAACAGACTAAGACTTTTCTTTTGTTTTTTTTCAATTCATTCCTCTGACTTACAGTTCCCGTCTTTATATTTCTCAGTTCAGTTTAAAAATCGCCTTTTCGACTTGGATTTCTGAATTTCTGACCTATTTTTCAATCTCTCTCTCCCTGTTTTCCCTCTTTATCTCCTGCTTCCCTTTTCTCCGTGTCCTCTC